TCTGTTCGTGTTCTTGTTTCTTGTCTGTGAGGCCTTCATATACTGTAATATGTTGGAACCACACCCTGGCAGCTTTTTCTGTTGGAAAATTTCAGGACAAACAAATACACAAAACAACACCATCCTCTGCTTCTCTATTCAGGCGAACATCATCTTGAGGTGGGACTATCAGCAAACAGTGAACTGCACCAACAGCCATTGCCATTGCCAAATATTGGGAAGAGAAAATGTTTCTCTTCAGAGGAAAGAACATGAGGCAAACATAATCCCCGTGAACCATGGGTTTTTCATGGCCCTGGACGTCCACCTCCCATTAATCTCTCCGGGCACCCGGGCCGTTCCACCTCCTCATTGTCGCGAAAAGGGTCTTCGCCTGGTTCATTGTCGGCCGCCTCAACGGCTCCCTCCCCTTGCGTGGACGGAGTGGTGCCCTTCTCGTGTTGGATGACCTGGCGATGTTGCAGGAGATCCCCAAACAACTGGTTGAAAACACAAGGCATGGAATCACACAAGGTCTACACATCTTGATCATGATGAATCCACCTTGAGCGAAAAACATCCTTCGTTTTTCTTAGCTAAGTCTTAGCCATGTTGGACTGAAGGCCAACGCCACAAAGCCGGGGCCATCGCCTGCAATTCGAGCCGTCTCCTCTCTTGTTCCTGCCGCAAAGCCTGGCAAAGAGAAAGGGTGCCCTGGTTGGTTCTGGAACCATTTCCGAGCCACAAATCTCCTGCGGTTCGTTGGACTTCTTTGGGGTGACAAAGACTCAAGTTAAAGACGGGTTTTCTTTGGTGTTTGTCCTATTGTGTCTTAGCAGCGGCTCTTATACCTATGTTGTACATAGATTCTATTATACATATGTTACATATGTAGAGACCTATATATTAGAGTCAGGACAATCCTGCACATAAATCTAATAATTACATACTGTATTGTTGAAAAAACAAAGATGTATATAGTTATACTGTATATGATACTGATATGTATATGTATGCAAGTCCGCCGCTTCAGCATGCGGGTCCATTCATGATGTAAAGTCTACCTGGGTACCCCGACGGCTTGTTCCCGCTTGCTCAGCTCGCACGGAGGGTTGGCCCTGAACAACAGCGCAACGGTGGATCTCTCTGGGTCGGAAACCTGAGAGACTACGTAAGTCACTAAGGTCACTGTGGTATTGAAAAGCAGGCTGAGAACTCACATCAAAGCCTCCGGGCGGAGCGCTGCAGCCATACTTGGCCTGAAATCACGGAAAGGAGCCAACACCACTCTCTCACTTGGCCATGTTTGTACCACGCATGATTCATGAGCCATATCACTATTACAGTACCGTGTATATAATATACATATGCATATGTATACTTAGCCCCTCACTGTTGTTTCTAGTTTTTTCCTGTTGCGAGGGCTCTTGTAAAATTACGTAAATGGCTGCTTTTGTTTCGAGACTCGTATGCAAAGTAGTTGCTATTGGATATTGTCATTGCACCCTGAGTTGTTGGATAGTGCTTTTGGAAAACCCTTGGTCCGCCAGGGCCCCATCGGCAACAGGCGTGAGGTTAGTGCATCCTTCCTTGGGTAAAATGTTGGGCCTCTGTTGGTGACTTGCGCTCTTCTTGAGCCTTTTCTTGTGCACAAGTAGCTTCTACATCTTGCTGCAGTGGCGTCAATGCCAAGGTCCCAAATTGAATCTCGAATGATGGGGCACTTGTGCGCTGCCACATGTTGCTGCAAGGCCCTGTTCCCTGCCAGCGTATTTGTAATGAAACGTGACTTATCCTTGTTGATTGCGAGGGAGATGTGGTCTAGCTCCTGATGGAGGTGTGTAGATTGCTACCGCGTGTTTCGTGGCTATCTGGGGGTCTTTGTGCACCACATCCACAGAGATGTCGTCTCCCCAACTAGCAACGGTTGCCATGGGGTGCTCGCGCAGCTTTTGCAGACGTTTCCAGAGATACACCTTGGCAAGGGTCATGGAAAACAGCAACCAGCAATGTGACTGAATGCTCTGGACGTACTGGTGTGGATGGTTCTGGGCTTTGCACGGAGCACCTCCTCGTCTTCTCGGTCCTCCACCTGAGGCATGGCAGGGCATCACGGTCACCCATGATCTGGAGCTGGAAGAAGAGATGGCCTTCCAGCAACTGAGGGGACCCCTCAGTTTGAACCCAAGGTTTGAGGGTAGAGATGGCACAATCCCCCAAAGGTGGTTTGGTTGAACCCAAGGTTTGAAGGTATTTATAATGGGTTGAGAATGTTGAGAGTAGATGGCACCATCTCCCCAAAGTCCAAAGTTGTGTTTTAGTGGGGTGCCAAAGCCGTCCACGCAAACCACTGTAACTGGTCGATTGGAGTTCTGCCATCAGTGGTTTGCCAATTTTTGGCATGTCTAATGAGGCTCTCGAGCCAAAACAAACAGACTTCGCAGTCTGGAAGAGGGGTTTCCAGTGATTCCACCAGAATGAGAACTTGGATACCTTTGGTATTCATGAAAATAACAATCAATTTATGAGAATGAAGCCTCGTCACTCATTTTCTTGGAAAAGGAAGTACCCAGAACCTCGGTCGATGACAACCAAGAACGCTTTTTAGGGACTTCGATGGGTATAGGGACTATGTGTACCCTTAAGAAGGTGTATGGGTATCACGACAAGTGCTCTGCAAAAAAACAAAACACACACACACACACGACAACAAAAACGTCCCTGAGTGTAGTATTCACTACATAAATGAATCTAAATGGGCTGCTTACCGCTTACCAAGCTTAAAGCTTCCACTTGATGTGATTTGTCACTTTCTTCACTAGCTGCATCTAGCTAAATCAGCTCAAGCTCTTGATTCATTTTGATTTGGCAACCTGCGATACTCTGGGGTGGCTTTGGCTGGAGGGGTGTGTGCGCCTAATGTGACTGCTAAAACCAAACAACGGCGTGGTGCTACCGTCACCTAAGCAGGAGTTCCGGAGTTCCAGGTGTTTGGCCGGTGAAAACCCATGGCGCCGTGAACCCGACCAAAATTCATGGAACTCCTCACAGACTTTTCGAGACCGCACAGACGGACCAACTGCGTTTTTGTTGCCAAAAAAAACACATCAAAGTCAAGTGGCTCCTTTAAGCATCGCGAGATGGCTTTTGCCCAAACTCCGTGAATCATCAGGTCGATTTTGTGATTTCTGGTCAGGAAACAGATGTTAAAAAAACTATGTTTAAACAGACAACAATGTAACAAGCTCCTGTTCACTATTTAGATGTATTTTTTTGATGATCTTCAATGGTTCATTTATAAGTTAACATATATATATAATATCCTTTTCGTGGCCCTTCAAAAGCTTTTGACTATGTTGAACCCGTTCCAGAAGCGTCCACAAATCGACTCAGGTCCCGGCTGAAGAGCACGCAGATAATGGGGTCACGCGACTCTGGTGAAGCAGCCTGAGCCGGAGAGACCGAGCTCCGGCGCACGACGAGAAAGGCACCGAGTCACACCGTCGAAATCGGTCTTCAAGAAGTCGCAAAGCGTCCGCAAAACAGGTGGGAAGATTCATGAGATCCTGCTGTTCATGGAAGGAATCCACAGCAGGGATACCACTTGGTGTCTGCAGGTAGAAACAAAGAAGAAAGGCTACATTTTTCCATTTAAACATAGGCGACAGGCGAATCCAAGACTCGAAACTGCTTCCACTCAGCCGGCACGTGTACAACAAACCGTTGCTGCCGTGTGCGAAAGAAGTTATTCTTGTTGCTAGCTATAAGGTCCAATACAAATCAATCATCCAGTTTCCACTGCTTCCACTGCTTCCGCTCCACGTGTCATTCTTGTGAAAAAAAAAAACACCCTGATCCTTCCTGGGGCCTTCGGCAAAGACTGTCGGCGGTTGGCCAACCGTGGAGCATAGGCCTTCACCCTCGTCTTCCTGTCCAGTGCGTCGGTGCCGCAACACCGCCACAACAAAAAGTACCACATACCACACCATACCACACCCTCTAAATACCCACCCTAAACACCTTCTCAGAAGGTACTTGCAGCCCTAGGGACACCCATTCTGCTTCAAAACAATCTTCTCCGAGAAATTCTGACATCCTAAGACCCACCCAAGCAGTTAGGACTTGTAGGACTACGTACAAAAAGGAAGTACGTAACACAGAAGCAGTGAGTCCAACCGGCAACACTCCACTCCCGAACCGGCCGGCGGCTTCGGCCGGCGGCTTCGTCCGGCCTCCGGCGCATGCGAGGGGAGAGTTTCACCTGAGGGGCTCCGACCGTCCGACGGACTGAACATGTGGTTGAAGGCATTCGGTATTGACCGAAGCATTTGGTCACCGGCTTGGGGAATCTCACACAAAGGAGAATGAATAACATACTCATCATATACTCCTTCCAACTCCAAAGAGTATGGTACTAAACTCAATCACGGTGCAAATATGACAGCTTGATGGAAAGAACAATCGGATAAACAAGATATCGAACGGGTTAACAAGCTATTTGTCTATAGTCTACTCAACTGACACATTTTGACCACGCAACTCAGCGCGTTTTGACCCTTGTCTGTCATGTTTCACCTACAACATCCTACGACTTTTTTTGCTTACTGTCCACTTGAGCTATGTCCCATGCGCTTGCTAAGCTCACAACCTCTGCTATCTCCGCTTGATTGTCCTCGTCTTTCAACACCTTGCAAAAACACATCGCATGACATCCCTCCGAATCTGTCCTCATCCCTCCCAGGAGATCGTGCGTTTGCCCCCCAAAACTCCAAAACACGTAGTGGATGGTAGTTCACTCGTCCTCGTCCACACTGGGCCATATTGGTCCAACCATCCTCTCGACGTCCGGTCCGATCTTGGTCAGTACCATCGATCCATCAGTTTTCTTTGGGATGTTTTTAGACAAAACATATTATATATATATATATATGTACGACTGTATATATTGCTATACAATGTGTTGTACCTAAACGGCCTAAGATGCCAAGCTCGTGCGAAACGATCGTTTTGTTTCTTTTTTGTGCGGAAGTTCTTGGAAGGTCTTCGAGCAGTTGTGGAAGGTCTTCCAGCATTTGGTGAGGGTCTGACGGTCTTTCACTGGTTTCTTTTCGATGCGGATTACACTGAAAACGTGATGAAACATGGGCATCTCTCATCTGCTTGGACCCAGGACAGGCTCTCAGCTCCCGCACGGAATGTGAAGATATCTAACGGACTGTGAGGACAGCCTCCACTGCCTCCCTCTCTTTCTCGGTTCAGGCCGACCCAAGAAGGACCTTTTCCGGATGCAGCGGAACAGGGCAGTCTGCTATCGCCACGCTCAGTTTTTGCACAGGTCTAATCTTGGCCGATGGCCTCCTTGGAAATATCCCGATTGCGAATGGCCCCAGAATGGCTGGGGTTGAGCTCCAGGACCCTGTTGTAATCCTGGATTGCCGCCTCATGCTGGCCAAGTGCCATTTTGGAAACGCCCCGATTGTGGATAGCTTCTACAAGCCTTGGATCCATCTCAATAGCCTTGTCATAGTCCTGGATGGCCGCCTCATGCTGGCGAAGAGCCATCTTAGAAGTGCCTCGATTAACAAATGCCGACGAAAGGGCTGGGTCCAGTTCAATGGCCTTGTCATAATCCTGGATGGCTGCCTCATGTTGACCAAGAGCCATCTTGGAAGCTGCCCGATTACGATATGCCGCAGGATCTCTGGGGTCCAGCTCAATGGCCTTATCGAACTCCTGAATGGCCGCCTCATGTTGACCAAGAGCCATCTGGGAAGTAGCCCGATTACGATATGCTGTAGGATTTCTGGGGTCCAGCTCAATGGCCTTGTCGAAATCCTGGAGCGCTCCCTCATGCTGGTGAAGAGCCATCTTGGAAGTGCCTCGATGGATAAATGCTGTAGAATTTCTAGGGTCCAGCTCAGTGGCCTTGTCGAAATCCTGAATTGCCGCTTCGTGTTGGCCAAGAGCCATTTTGGATATGCCCCGATTACGATATGCTGCAGGATTTCTGGGGTCCAGCTCAATGGCCTTGTCGAAATCCTGGATTGCCGCCTCATGCTGGCGAAGAGCCATCTTGGAAGTGCCTCGATTGAAAAATGCCGACGAAAGGGCTGGGTCCAGTTCAATGGCCTTGTCATAGTCCTGGATGGCCGCTTCGTGTTGGCCAAGAGCCATTTTGGATATGCCCCGATGGTGAAATGCTGCAGTATGTCTAGGGTCCAGCTCAATGGCCCTGTTGTAGTCCTGGATTGCTGCCTGATATTGGCCATTCGACATTTTGGAAATGCCCTGACGGTAAATCTCCATGGCTCCCTGGGCTTGACCCATTGCCTCTGATCAATGGCAACTGCCCAGAACTTCGTTGGTCACAAATATCCCTGCCTCTAGGCTTTGAGCAATCCAGCAATCCGAGCGTGCGTGTTAGAGGGAGGGAGGGAGGGAGGCAGGCAGGCAGGCAGGTAGGCAGGCAGGCAGGCAGGCAGGCGAGGAAGGAGAATTACAGGGTAAAGAAGGATCAAAAGGTTGTCAAATGTCAAGAAAAATAACTGAGAAAGTGACCGACTGGGTTCGTAACATGGTTGGGTTTGTCCACTTGAAACAAGTTTGACCCCGAGCAGAAAGCAGTGACACCATTGAAGATCTGTAGAATCATGAGGTGGTTTAGCAGCAACTTAGCTGCTGAGACAATCTTACCATCTCATGATGGTTACATGGTTGGACACAGGAAATCAGTGGAAATCAACAGGTTAAAACCAGCACGATGTCCATATCAGAGTACTTGCCAAGGTTTACGGTGCCCGGAATATCCACTCATCATTCAAATCCACGGTAGGCTCTGCTGGGGCCCTGCGTCCAACCACCGCACTTCGTCCAAACAAGCTTCGTCATTGGGCCTCAATCTGCTTGCGCAACCAAATGTCTCGCGCCGGTGGCCTCAACAGCGATGTTCCAAAGCGCGAAGCGCGCTTTTCGGTGGCCGGATGTGGAGGATGTTCCTAACGGTCACAACAGGAGGCGCAGGAGACAGCGGTTTTATCTTTGGAGGGCCTTCTGAGAGGCTCGGTGTGATTCAATGATCTGAATCTACTTCCTGCTTCTCTCCACCGACCTGTTTTTGAATTGGTTCAGGATGTCATAGGCTTCATTAGGTTTCAGGACCCTCCAAGTGTCTTCTGATAAGAGTATACCTTTGAGCCTCCAAAACTCAAATACTTGACCACGTAAGGACTTGATATATGCCGCCATTAGCAACCCGTTGATTGTCTAAATAACTCCAGCCATGCCGGGCTGCCGGTTCTGGTCCTGATCCGCATCGCATCGGGAAACCCGGCAGCGGCTCATCCTCTTCGACAGTCCAGGTGTTTTGCTCCTCACCGGTGCAGGTACCGTCCACAGAGTCGACCATGTGGAAGCAGAGTAGACCAGGTGGACTGAAGCCGAGTCAACCAGGTCCCAAACCCCTCTTGCGAACAGGTGTCAGCAAGCTGAAGCCTCTAAAAGTAACGGTCAAAGCCATGCTTCATGGATCAATCCAATTGTCAGAAGAAAGCTGGACCGCTCCAAGACTCCCCCAACACTGCGGAAGAGAAACATCTTGACCACACAAGTAGTAATGACCAAGCTTCTTGGAGACCTCAAAAGCTTCTTGTTACGAGTAAGAGCCTCCACCCTAATGGCGATGGCATCCAACCTAGCTTCTTGTTAAACTTGTTGAACAAACAAGTCACTTCGGTGCCCTCCCTCTACCATGGAAGTGGAACATGTTCCCTGGAAAAAAAACAAAAACAAAACAACATGAAATCCTCTACAAACTGGGACTGCCCACTTCCATGTTTGTTGGAGAGATGGTAAATCACGGCCACAAATCCAACGGCTCAATCTTCTCAACATCGCTTTGGATACGCAGGCACTTCATGAGACCCAGTATGTCCAACTAATGCAAGCTCTTGATTGATTAAAATAAACAAACTGATTTGGATAGATAATATGACCTCTTCGTAGATGTTTCGTGCTGTTTTAAACGAAAAGTCTATATATGGGTTAGAGACGTGTCAATAGATCTCCCGCCCTTTTTTGTGGCAAGATAGACAACATCTGGAAAGCTAAGACCTGGAAATGCCCCCCCAAAACCATGAATAAAAACGTGGAGGGATGCAACGTGACACAAACCACCCTAGAACCAAAGGCCGTTCGTCTTATAGATTCATGTAAACTGCATACTCGGATTTGCTGATTAAGGACCTCAACATGCGGTTTCACGTGTTTTCCGACACCGAGGCGGTTTCACTGTGGTGTCACACCCCACGGGCTATTAACCCCCGCGTGTGAAACACGCTAAGTGGCCTCATCATGGGGCACAAAGCACATCTGCAGGCGAGAGCATGCCACCTGAAGGTGCACATGCGTACATGTGTTGGATTGGGCCCATCATGATTAGCGGATGATGCTGGTTCGGAAGCGAGATGTCCGAATATATAGTTGATATTTGATACTATGATGATATATTAATATTATATTCATATTAACATGAACAATGTGACAAATCCAACACGGGCAACTCATCTACCGGACACTTTTATACCGACCGTATGGTGGATGTGGTTTTGCTTGGTAAGAGCCAAGCGAATCCCACCGACGGTACTTCTTTGGTCAGGTCCTCTCCGTCCTGGAAGTCTTTCACTACTCAGCTCAGGCAGGAAACATGACTGGAATGAGGGAATGACCTTTCAAAGGAGATTCCTTCGGATGCACTCCTTGTTCTTTGCTAGAAACCGGTCAGTAACTGCAACCTGTAGCTTCATGTCAATTCCAATCAAATTGGAACAGCAAACGACATCGAAAGACCTGCAGGTATCGTTTGGTATTGCTCTAGACTCTAAAACCAATGTTTTTCCAAAACATGTCAAAGTATCATTGGCCTATTCCTGGAACAAATATCGGTCTTCAGGGTTCCCCATCGCTACACACAGTGATTGCTAAGCTTTACAAAGACAATGGCGGGTCACCTCTAAAACTCTTCATAGGATGTGTTGGCCTTTGCTCATATCAATGTGTTCTCTTTCCCAACAACACTGTACAATGCACGACTTATTTAGCCGAAAACTCACCTCCCACTTTTAACTTTTGTTTTCAGAAGCGCTGGTCGAACCAGAGTCTTAAACATCAAGCTGGCCAAGTTGTCCTAGTTCCGTCAGTGCGACCAGTCACCTGCCCCCTGTGTAACCTCCCAAGCATTGTGGATGAGGCGTCGCTGGAGCTCGTGCTGAGATAAAATGTGCCTCGGTGTTTCACTTCGCGAAGCGTCTGGACACGATGCGTGGCGTACAGGGGCGATCGGAGGATTTTGAGCCACGAATGTAGCATCTGTGATGGGCCGATGGCTAGGGAAAGTCCTTGGCGCTGAAACCTCAGTCAAAGCCCCTCGTTTTGATTCCAACGAAAACCCTGAGCCCTCGAAGCCCTAGATCAGTGGGTGAGAGCAAGGAACGGTGCCACTGTATTGACCGTGTACCAGAAGCACAACTTGCAAGCATCTTGGAGTAGATGCAAAATGTATGTATATATATAATATATTTATGTGTATATAGAACACTTCAAACGTGTTTGGTGATCATCTTCCTGCTGCTTCATAGAATGGATGATCTGATGTCTACTTCAGTACTGACTGAGACCATCTGAATCTGTTGCATCTCATCTCCTGCGACGGACGAACTAGCCGCTACAGTAGCTTTCAGCAGCAACTTCAGTTGCCAGTCTAGTGAATCGACAATACAAGACCTGTGTTTCCGAACAAGAACAGTGGCTCCGAAATGACTTTATAGACCTCCACTATAATGATCTACAATGTATTACGAGAGATTTCTGGATTCATGACCAGCATCAAAAGATCTCGAAATCCTGGCTCCTCATAGAGGATTGGTTTCTATCAGAAAAGAACATATTGTCGAACCCCCTTACAAATCTGGGTTGCTTATTGCACAGTCCGGCCATGGTTTTAATCACAAGGATCATTGAGATCAACTCCTTACGTCTGAGATCCCCCCAGTGGCCCAGTGCGCACCCTCCGCGGTGCACGATCTGCTCGATGATCTCAGACGCAGCCTTTGAGGACGCCACCTGTCTCAGGCGCGCGGCTGGGCTCCGAAAGCAGCATGGACAAAGCAACATGACTAAAACCTTAAACGGTGATGGTGTTTGTTCTTCTAGACGCCGCACAAACCTTTGCAATGTTGAATAGTGTTGGTAGTTTGCCTTCTACATGAAATGCATAAGAGCAATCTACACACACACACATATATATATATATTTCTATTAAGCCCTGTCACATGGGAACCGATTTCGTGGTTGCATGGGCTTGCCGCCCGTGGGATGCCCGTTTCTGATTCGGGATTCGAGGCGGTACCTCGGTGGCTGATCGGGCTGGTCCTAACAACTAACACTCCTCCTCCCGAGACAGGAGTAAGCCATCAAAAGCCATCAACCCTGCAGTTGTCCTGGAAGTTCCATTGTATTTATGTGGAGGGAAACTCAGAAACTCCATATAAATCATGCAACTCCACCAACAACCATGCCTTCTACAGCTATATCTACTCGACCTCATCTTCCTTTCAATAGTAATAGGCTTGATCAGGCTTGTTTCACCCATTGGCTCGAACTCAACCTGACCAAGAGCTCACCACATGTGTCTTGAACCCACAAGGGTCCACTCCTCAACCCCTTCTAGGGTCCATCCGCCATCTCCGCAGGTCTTTTGCCACACCCCGAAGGACCGAAGGTCGCCTGCCCCACTTCCTCCACCTCGTCTGTCTTAGAGATCTCCGGACCTTCCGGCAAAAAGGTCCGTTGGGGGGAAACCAACGAAGCAACAGGCCGGTCCTGAGGGTATCTGCGTGGTGGGTTGCGGGCTTCCGGTCTCTTCGGGTAGTTGCGGGTAGCTTCCGGTCTTTGGCTCTCGGCTCTTTTGGTTGGTTTAACTACTTACTTATGATGCTAGTGTCAACACGATTATCCAGTTGATGACAGTTGTGGTTGGCTCTCATTTGCTTCGCAAAAAATACAGAGGTCTGTGAGTGCTCCCATGGTTTCAAACAACAATAGTGATAATGAGGTGATCCCCCATTGTGGGTCGGAAGGCGTCCCCAGGGAAAACATATTAGACATATGATTGATCGTCGTGCGGTCGGAGGCGACCGACTCCCACGCGTCGACGGACCCTCGTGCGCCGCCTTGAGTCATCCTTCATCGCGGGGCCGCAACGAAGGGAGTCCGGGGGCGATTGAAGGCCGCGTCTTGCAGCCGCGCCGTGAAACTGGAGCCACAGAAGAAGGATGAAAATGGATGAAGGGACTCGGAAGCAGGGAAGTACATGGACAATTCTACAACTCTTTGTGCTGCAGGAAATATCTACACTACGGCACCTCATGATAGATCATAATCATTTACACTCAGCGGGTTGGCCCAATGCTTTTGTCTTTCCTGCATCGCAGTAGCTCCAGTCCCCTGGCTGGCCACAATGTGTTGTGTGAACCCAAACAACATTTATATATATATATATATATCCGATTCAAACATGGGGTTTAAAATGGTTCAATCATACGTGGGCATAAGTATAAGTGATAATTCCTTCAAAGAAACTAACAAACAGCCAGGGTTGCCTATGACCAAAATAATCATCCTACCCATCTATGACCATAATGTTGCTGAGTGATCCTCCACTTCCAAGAAAACCTCCCTATATAGATGTACATGTTTCAGCTTGCCTATGTGACACCCGCGCCTTCCTTGACGCTTCGAAGGCCATTTTCGTCAGGTTCAGCTTGAAGGCTGGTCATTGGAATGGGGCAGGTCTCTTACCTGCCAAGCTAAGGAAGCTAAGAAAGCTAATGGGTGCAGGCGTCTTTGCCCTCCAACCATTCCAAAGCTGATCAAAGCTCTGAGATCCATGAAGACGAGCGTCACCACCGCCTCAAAGCGCCGTCAGAAGATCACGGCATCCTCTGGCAGCGACGTGGTCTCCAGCCACTGCCGCAGGGCGACGTCGGCGTCCTCTCTCCGCGCCACCAGGGTCGGCGTCGGAAGGGCCCGGAGCTCGGCCTGGGATGATGAGAGGAAGACGAAAACACCGAAAAAGCATGTAGAGTAGAGTCCTGAAGCGAGAGTCGTGGACACTGAAACTATACTCCATCAAACAAACTGTAGGAATTCACATGACATCACGTAAATCAATTTCTATCGATCCATGTTCGCAGGGGTACAAACAGTATTCAGTATTCAGTATTCACCTGAAAAATTCATGCTTGAACATGGCCGGATAAGGATCTTTAGGTGGGTCTTGAAGTCCGCTCTTACGAAAATCACGGGTGTACAGTGACTTGTACCTCTCTAGAACTCTAGAGTAGTTCATTTAAATTTAGGTCTAACCCCTTCCTTCGATCGTTCTACATCAAAGCTGTCTGCTTTCGGCCGATAACGGCCGCGCAGAAGGCAGTGGTCCAGATCGATCCGCTTCCAACGTGCTTAGCAGTGGGGATCCCAGATCGCTCCGCCATCGATACAGCACAGCACAAAAAGGGGAGCTGAAGAAAGTCATAGTTTTTTGTTTTTGGCAATGGAACTCTCTGCATAGTATATATATATAGTTATATATATTTATACTCAAAATAGAAGAACTCTCTGGACTATACATAAATACACCAACAATGTAACAAATAGAATGTGTTGAAATTTCAACGAACATTGTTTGTATATAACTAAACCTCATTTATGTGATCATCATGTTCATTAAAATTTATTCGTGCATTATGAACTCCACTTCTCGTAAGTGGCGAAGTGATCCCAAGCCGTGGCGGGCGAAATATGATGTGGGTGCATAAATCTAAAGTGCCATGACAAACAGCACAGTGATGTAATTTTCCTGTTGATACCTCCACCAAATTTGCACAACTCACAGATTAACTTGACCATCATCTCCTTTCACTATGGTGTATTAATACATCCATCATGTCCTTTCCTTGTCCAGCCCAGCTGCCACTGTCTCAGGTGGCCGAGCAGGGGGAGGCAGCTCCCGCAGGCTTCCACCGCCGATCCGCATTCGCTGAGCGGTCCAACACGGCGGCGTTCCCGGCGAGACCGGCAAACGATGCGGGTGATCCTGGGTGGGGTGAGTGGACTATCCCAGCACAGGGATGGTTGACTTATTATATATAACTATATATACTATATATATATATATATTTATATGTATGTCTGGATCCATTTGTGACAGTGGATCCAGACAAGCAGTGATTGGTTGGACCTCAACTTGTTTCGGGCATGAGCTTCAAGTATGAGGGCTCAATCATTGAAACCAAGCGGGTCTATATTTGCAGGCGAGCAAATTAGTACTAATTCTATACTACAGTATTTATGATGCTCCGCTTGTTGTCATTGTCTGGATCGCCCAAGATATCTACTTACTCTGAAATGAGTTACCGTGTGTTGCCCAAACATGGGCAAGGATAGGCGTGACCACACAGCGACGCGACGGTTGGGTCAATGCTCAAGCGCGTCCGCTCCACAACACCCCAAAAAAACACGTCAGCCAGGAAACCTCTGCAAGGGGTGGGTGGATTTCCTGACCAAAGACCAAGCTCTGCCGGAGTTGTTCCGTCTCTTGTGGTTCCTGCAGTTCCAACTTTTGATGCGCCCAGCCGTCGCGGCTCTCCTCGCTCTCGGTTTGACAGGTCCCATCCGCCACAGTTCGGTGAAGTGGAGCCGTCTGTGTGGAACCCGAGCACCGGGCGGGCGGCACGTCGGGGGCAGGTCTCTCAACTGGCAAAGCGGTGTGCACCGGTTGGTCCACCTTCGACGCCTCTCCCAGTACGGTTTCCGCCTCTCCCAGTGGCCCATCCGAAAGATCCATACCACGGACGAAGCGTAAGGACAATGGCCGTTGTGATAGGACCTTGGTGAGATCTGCAGATGACATCAAAGAAGCCTGCTGCAGGGCGTGTGCATCAATACATCATTCTGATGAAACAAGGTTTGAATGGGTTTGAACATTTGAAGTGTGTGAAACGCTGCTGCATCGCCTTAAAACAACAGTTCAATATATTAACTATTTAAAAACAATCATGAATGCAATTACTAACCGTTTTCAACTGTGACGCCTTCTGATTGGCCACGAGTTTCAAAACATCACCTTCTTGCACACCATGTTGAGCCACCACTTTGTGCGGCATGACAGTGCCCACCACGACAGGTCCGGGAGGCCATTGTTTCGGGAGAAAACCCACGGCTCCATCATCAACACCAATGTGGACATCAATCACCACCTGGGGGTGATCGCAGAAAGGAGACACCCTTGAAGGTTCGATTTGAACCACATCCCTACCATTTTTTTGTGGGTGCACCTGGCACTTGGGGCACCGGGCTGGTACAACATGGCGCAACCACCAATCAATGAACTGTTTGTTGTTGGCAATTCGATCAAGTCCCATGTCGTTGGATGCACAATTATAAAATGGCAGGATCGACTCACCAACTTGCGCCGCCCAATGCATGGGAGGTATACTGGGTCCTCGCTGCTACCCTAAAAATCCATATGGGCCCTGCATGGCAGGGGTCGGGTCCGCCCGCCTTCGCAGGGGTCCGCACCCTTGAAACTCATTGTGTTTCCCGGATTTTTACAGGTTACGAAAAAACACAACTTTAGAACACGTCACTCAAGCCCAATGCAGCTTTTCTACGACTGCAGCAAGGTTATGAAGAAACACACACACAAGTTTCAGGGCCGTTGCCACCTCACCTCATCGATGACTGTCTCGTTCCGATGGAGCCGTAAGCTCAGCGGCCGCTTGGCCAGTTCGAGGGCCAAGCTGGAGCGATCCAGGGACGAGGCCTGGGATCCGGGTCTTTGTCAGTTCTCCCCAACCAGTGTGGACACTAGGGGTTCTTACGGTAGTGGTTAAGCAATCGAGGTGTTGCACCGGGGCGTCCGGCTAACTCGCTGCTATTTACAGTACGTTCTTGCCTCTCGAGATCCTCGAAGTGCATTTCGACCGCGGCGGGTGCTTGCCACGAGTGCGCTCTCGTTGGTTCCGTGCGCATTTTCGGACATAGTGGTCACTTTTCGTGGCAGGCTCAAAGGAAACCTCGTGCTTTGGTGGTCTAAAGTTAACTTTTCGTGACAAGTGCAAGGGATCGGAGCGGTTTTACTTCGACAGGGCATGGTGGTGATCTTCCAGGCGCTCTGCAGTGATTCGTGACTTTTGGATACTTTTGGACATGTGGCTCGTTTGCAGGTTTCGTGGCAGGCGCAGCACTTAGTGAACCTCGAAGTGCAGATTTCGTGGCAGGCACAGCATCACTCTCACCCACACTCTCTCACTCTCCCACTCTCTCATTCTCCCACTCTCACTCACACTCACTCACTTTCTCACTCTCACTCACTCTCACTCACACCACGCACTCACTCTCTCTCACTCTCACTCTCACTCTCACTCACTCTCACTCTCTCTCTCTCTCACTCTCTCTCACTCACTCTCACTCTCACTCACACCCACTCTCACTCACAGTCACTCACGCACCACCACCGCCACCATCACCACGATCTCCACCTTCATCTGCACCCCAATGCGTCTAGATCTCTAGACTTTCTGCTACTACACCTCTAGACCTCAAACACACCGTCTGGTGTCTCTTGCCGGGATAATTTGATGTTTTTTTGGAGGGTAAATCATGCAAATCTTACTTTTTGGGGAGGGCCTCTCTATTCCGCTGGCGCCTGGAGTAGACTTGTGGATAGGTTGCTTCACACCACCACCGGATAAGACTGATGAGATGGTAGGTAGAGTTCTTGTCCACTGCATTTGGCTTCCCACATCAGGCATAGGAGTTGGTGTTTGACAAATCCAAGCAAACACATTTCCCTTGCCACTGATATGTGCTTATATGGGAAAGGATCAAAACCTATACCATGCTGCTCGCAAAAACTAAAAGGGTCCATGCTATGGACCTAAGCACCAAGTCATCAAACAACAAAACTACAAACCAGCAAGATACCCAACCTTCAACAGTTTGAGAGGTGTCCCTCACTGACAGGCTTTAAAAATCAACCGGCTTGGAACTCCAGGGGGGTGCTGATCTATGACAGACAAGCCCAGCAAGAAACGGATCCGCAGCAAGAAACACAACAGTCATTGATTTCATCACGATGCACAGTACACTCTCTTGATTCTAGCACAAGTTGCAAAAACGTCCTTTGGCATGCATATCTGAATACCACGAAAGAGATCGTCAAGAATATGTGGTGAGCTGTGTTCTCCCCTCATTCCCCAATGTATCAATGGTTTCTCCACCTGGTTGTTGGACAAGTGCTGCACCCTCACACCCATCTTATATCGACCTTTCCACTATGAAACAACAAGACTTCAAGGACTTCAAGCGTTTCCTAGCCTTGGAGGCTCTGGAGAACAAGAAAAGCACACTAAACTACTTTACTTCGTGTGGTCCCCACCATGACAGTTCAATCATTTGTCTTGACGCCATAGTGAGAAGCATGTTGCCATGGTCGTGAGTATTGTCGTTCTCGATTTTGCTTGTGGGTCCTCGGGTTGTGTGCTGTGGTTGTGTGTTGTGGTTGTGGTTGTGTGCTTGCGGTTGTGTGTTTGTGGTTGTGTGTTTGTGGTTGTGTGTTTGTGGTTGTGTGTTTGTGATTGTGGTTGTGGTTGTGTGCTGTGGTTGAGGTCCGGCAGGGAACACTGGGCGTGGATGGTCGTGGTTGTTGTCCGGCAGGGAACACTGGGCGTGGATGGTCGTGGTTGAGGTCCGGCAGGGAACACTGGGCGTGGATGGTCGTGTTGAGGTCCGGCGGAAGAGGACGAGGAGGAGGAGGAGATGGGGCTGACGTAAAATCTAACAACCCTCACCTGACAGGTGGGGAAGAAGCATCGTTCCATCTCCATGGAACCACCCTCCTCCGTCTCCCGGTCTCGCTCGCGCGGCAGCTCGCGCCTGGCGGCCGTTCACGCTGCGCAGCTCATCCCCCCGGCGAAGCTCGTGCTGCGCTGCCAGGCTCTCGGGCAGCACGGCCGCCAGGATCACTGGGCCCGGCGGCCAGGACCGAGGTACAAAGCCCAAAAGGCCTCAGGGGACGGAGGAAGGAAGGAGATGGACATGGCCTTAGGGCCTTTAGATGCCTAAATAGGGCCTGTACGGTTGTGGGTGTTGTAGTTCCAACATGTTGTAGATGGAGTGCGATCGAGTCACCGAATCTCATCCAACAGGAACCAGTTGTTGGATTGGAAGATAGAGTCACTGAGATTCACTGAGTACATACAGTGGGTTCAGAGTAGATGGCACAATCCCCAAAACGAGGGTTTATATGGACCCCCATCCAAAAGACATGTAGGGGTACCAGTGCCATCGAACCTCTGAAACCACTCTACATCGAAATAAAAGGCCCGGGAAGGCACATGTTTGTATGCCCTTTGGGTCAGAACAGGCCAATTTCGAGTCATGAAATCACCGACAGTTGTAGGACTGAAAAGACGCCTGGTCTGGCAGATTGCAGGCAAACCTTCCTGGCAATCTCAAGTGATGCTGTGCTGTGTCTAGAATCCGAAGTGCCTTGTCTTGGAGGGGGACATCTCCCATCATCAATACAGTACATGAATGCTTGGGCCCTTGACTTCTGACTGGTTTTTGCCCCTATCTTTTGGCTCATATTTCTACCTTTGTGTCCCCAGCCATGCCATGTCACGCCTCCGTTCTCAATCTCCACCTCCAAGTCCATTCAACTCTTGCAGCTGCATCATCCATCAAATTGGAAGCTACAACTCCATCACCAAGAGCTGTGGACTACAAGCATTGCCATGTCACCGACTTTGAGTGCCCCCTTAGTTGTTTTGTGACCTGTACCCCGCTAGCATTTGATTGAGACTCCAACAAGGACATGAGCGCTCCCCTGGCCCAATAGGGAGATTCCCTGGCCCAATTGGTGGTCAATGGTCCTTTTTCCAGGGGGTGGGAACGCCTGGGACGTCTCTCTATTTCAGCTACACACTCGGTAATACGAAAACTCATCTGATTTGGGCCAGCGGTTTCCTCCCCTCTTCCCTTCAAACAAACCCTTGGCTCGAATTGGATCCGGACCTCGAAATGGTTTAATGGCCTGGTGTCCATTCAGGTTTGTGCATGTTCGAGGTGCTGTTTCATTCTGTGCGCCCCGAAGCGACGTGCAAACTAGGTGGCAAACGACAGAAGTCTTCCAGGCAGCGGCGAAAACATGTCATGGGCTGGAGCTCACAAGGCTTGCTCAATATGACCCACGGGAGACTGGAACCTGGTGGTCACTCAGGAATCCCCCTGAACCTTCTTGCATCTTTCAAGCCCACTGACTGCAAGTACAGATTTGACTGACATTGTGGGCTCTTGACTAGTTCTTCTTTGTAAGTATGGAATTCCTGGTGAAGTATACACACCCCCAAATAGATAGAAAAGTAAATCCCCACATAGAAAATGTATTGGAAGCCGTGCCACTGTCACTATCTCTTTGGGGACCACCATACACCTAAAAGAACCTACAGTAAATTGTAAACCCACCAGGTGTCCCTACATTCACCGAAGACATCAGCCAGCTTTCCCATTTGAGTGTCCCAACAAGCACGAGCGCAAGTGCCGCAAGCGCAGTGGTCGCAGGAGTTGCGACTTCATCGTTTTCTCCCCAGATGGACAACAAGCGTGGGCGATTGATTGGCATGGTGAATGACATCGAAAGTCTTACTTGATGCCTAAAGGAACCTGAGGTATGCATTCATGCATTCTGATGCATTCTCGCTCTTCATGATACATTTTTTGCTACTTGGGCACAATCTTGGTTCGTTGTCACCATTGATTTCTTGGTTGCTATCATGGACTGCAAATTGGCCGGCTGCCCTCAGCCCTTGCTTCCGCCTTTGCCCTTTCCCTTCTTCTGCGATGACGGTGGAGGCTGGGGATGGTTTAGTCACTGCCCGAGCTCAGCTGGGACGTCTAAAGGAATGCACAAGAAACACCTAGAGCTAAGCAAACGTTTCCATGTGTCAGTGTATCCCAATAGATCTCAAAAAGGACGCTGCTAAACACCGGTTGGTTGTGTGCCTGTTCTTAAGCCTTAAACTTAAACAGCACCATCAGCAGTTGTTTGTTCTATATATGTTTGACTCATGGTGTCTGGCGGTTGAAAATGACTGAAAGGACTATCAGAACAAACATCATGTCACCTATTTGAGTGGGCAATCTGCCTCCACAATTGGCTTCTAGATCTGCTAGAGTAAACAATTGAAACTGAACTGCTTCTAAAGCAACATATTGAAGCAATATTCTCTGTCTGCACACTACTGGAGAATCCTTGTAGACTATTTATCTCAATACTTTTGGCTTCGTGGCAGAGCGTCGCTCTCTTCCTCAGCACCAATACAATGCACACAAGAAAGTCCACAAGCTGCGCTCTGACCCACCAGCTGCGCCTGGAATTTGGCCAAGGCGCCCAACTTTTTCTTCTCCTTGTGACGAGCAAAGCAAAAAGGCACCATGCTAAACCTGCAGTGGCGAAAAAAAGAAAAAAACATACCCGCTTCAAGCCCTCCTACCCGACTGTCCGCCATCGTCCGCCTCCGCCGCTGGAGCTGGAGCGGCTAAAGGTGGCTCTTCCACAGTCTCCTCCTGCAAGCAGGAACGTCACAGATCTCTCTACTAGTAGCACTCAGCTCATGTGGGAGAAAGCAACGTGTCGCCAAGCAGCACGACAGTCACACGAAAAAAAAAGGGAAAAAAACACCAACCGACCGTCCGACCGTCCGACCGCACGATGGCGGGCCAAGTCTAGTGATGTCCAGTTTGCACCTCGCCGCCACCAACATGCACACCTCCAGTGCCGCCCCAAAGACAGTGTGCCCCCGCCCAGTCCGGCAGATTCGCTCTCATGCTCGAGAGGCCACCGCCAAAGACCTGGAGAACCCGTTCCGAAGAAACGACGCGACGCCGACGCGGTCGTTCAACGACGCGTTGGTCGTTCGAGACTTGGAGATGTCCGGATGTGGGGTTGGACTGTTCAACTAGGATCTTCCACAGATCTTGCTGTTGGACATGTGTTGGAATTTGGACATTTGTTTTCAAATGAGTCTGAAACGAAACGTGGGATCAGTACTTTGAGCTACCGAAACGCGGCACCGGGGGAAGTGGTGAACGGATGTGGGAGATGGCCAGGGCTACAGCTGTTCCAACTGTCTCCAGCAGAACTGGGAGGGAGCAGAATTCAATGTTGCCGCACTCTGTGGTGTTTTCCTTTGCACTGCTGCGAAGCCTTAACAAGGTCGTTATAAACATGCACAATATCTGGGGTCTATCCTATTACCAGTAACAGCCGGTGGATGGTTAGTAAAGGCCATATTCAAGAATAGTGATAATTCTTCACTGACTGATACAGGTAAGAACGGGCAAACCCAAACAAGATCCTTTCAAACCACATGATCCACCGAGGTTGCAAACCCTACACAGAGCCAAACACCGCACCGACTTCGCCCACATCATCCCCCATCCAAGCGATCCAAACGACGGATCGCCCGCCTCCGAGGGGATCGGTGCTTCCTCGATGTCTTCCACATTCAGCTCGATCTCCTGCACTCCGCGGGCGATGCAGGGGGGTGGATCAAGTCTTAAGAAGCATTCGTAGCTTTTCTGACTGTTTAGCTTGAGAGTCAGAGACTTCTGTTTCGTTTTGGCTACGTGAAACACTTGCCAAAAACCGTGCTTTTGGCTCAAGAGCGGGTTAACACTGCTACCTGGGGGAGGCCGAGATGGGAAACACCATTCAGGAGCCAAGTCTGGAGACGCCTCACAACGCCTCAAAAATTGCAATTGGGCCATCGAATGAGCGCCCCGGTCCAGGATTTCGTCGTAATTGACCTGTCGAACCCACCAACCTCACTGTCGTGGTACCCCCGGGGGGCAAGTTTCACCCAACGCTGCCAGAGGACGCATGGACTGCACCCCTAAAATGTCCTGCATCCATCTGCATCCTAATTATTTTCAAACCAGAGTCCACAAGGTTGAGAGCGTTGAGTTTGAGAACCCCCCAAAAAAAAACAACGTTAAACACCCGTTTCAATTTAAGACTTGAGTTCCATTATAAATATTTAGTTGTTCTGTTCTGATCCTCTATCACCACATCCCCCCCCACTGTTCGCCTCAAAACCCTCCACGCTCCGCCCGTTCCGAACCAGCGCAATTCCGCCACCGCTGTGGAGCTCACCTCAGAGTTCGCCGTCATCGCCACCGCTGCAGATGAGGATGCCGCGGGCGGAGGCTCCGCCCCGGGAGCATCGTCCTCGTCGTCGTCCTCAGCTGCCAAGAAGCACCCCAAAACCAAGTGTCTCTGGAAGAAGATCGGCATCACATCGATTTCTAGGGTCTCAGTGAGTTACATGCTCAATTGAGTTGTGTTTTTTTTTTGTGGTGTGGGGCTTATACACTGGGTCTGTACCTACGCGGGTGCCTACGCCTGGGCTCCCCTCTCAAGCAAATGCCTACGCGAGAGGTTCTCTTTGTTAGGTGCCTACGCGGGATGCCTACGCAGGGTACTGTCACCAACTTTAGTCACATCAGGTGACTCGAAAAGAGCTATATAATCCGCAAGTAGTGGCCCGATGCGACTGGGTCACATCAGGTTCCTGCTTATCTTTCCCCAAGACCCTTGAACAACTTTTAAAGAAGTCTGAATAAGAAAATTCAGGCTTTCATGAAAAGGGTGCCTACGCAAGACTGCCTACGCAAATCTTTCAACACCCACCTACGCAAAATGCTTACACGACGCCTACGCCCCAAGCAGAACAGCCTCCGCGACTTCTCAACAGTTCCCTTTTTGTATAAACCTAATCATTTGCAAAAAAAACGTGGCTCAATTGTGCTAGTATGCATTTGCTGCATCATCATCTCTGACTCCACTTTGGACTTGTTTGCACCTGCATTAGTCGTCCAGAACCCAGCACTCAACAACAACAACAACATCAACAACAACATCAACATCAACAACAACAACAACAACAACAACAGCAACAGCAACAGCAACAGCAACAACATCAACAACATCAACAACATCAACAACAACAACAACAACACCAACAGCAACAGCAACAGCAGCAGCAGCAGCAACAACAACAAAGCAATACCGCACCAGCATTTTACCTAACAACAACAATAATAAGAAAGACAATAACACAAACAAGAACCAACAATGTATGTACCACAGTAATCAAACATTAAACAAAATACAAACATACTACAGTATAAAGGTATACACTAAGGGCACTGCGCATTCCATCCTATCCCCTCCAAGCACCTGGCCATGTCCAGCTCGATCTCTTCAGGGTTAGCCTCTTGTGCCCTCTGTTCCGCCGCCAGGGCCTGCGGGAATAATGATCACGAGACATACTTGAAGGAGCTTCCTTCCGAACGTTCCATCATAAGCTATAGAAACATGTTGGATGGTGTTCGTGATGCCCTGTGTTTTGGCCGGGTCCCCCCCAAAAAAATAACGTTAAACAGGTCCAACTCTGCTATTCCACACGAAAAGTTTGAAGAAAAAAACAACACACACTAAAGCACTCTCAGATCGACGGAAAGTACGTAGATCTGCTCACCCCTGCTACTTATTGCTTCGCCCTTTCATCACGCCGGCCCCGGCCGGTGGCGGGTAGGAAGGGAGCCCGCCGCCCACCGCCTTGCGTTCGGCGGCCGCCGCCGCGGCGGAGCGGGCTTCAATCTGCTGCAAGGAGGAGTCCTGGAGACGTGGGTTCCCCCGGGTGCACTTCGTCCCAATCCGAGTATGGTAAGTAAGTCGTCAAAAAGAAGGGTGGTCGAACAAGGTCTAGGTCTGATGGTTGAGAGATGTTGAGAGGGGATGTGTGCGTTTTTCCATCCTTGGGCCACTTTAAATGCTCTAGGTTCCGTGTGTGACGGGAGTGAATTGATGGTCTTCTGTGGCTATCTACTTGCAGTTTCCATGATACGAATCTTGCCCTGCAGGTTCCCAGGTGTCTTCCGGTCGACTTGAGTTTCTTCTGTTGATACCGGTTTTGACCCACAGCCATTGGAGCAGCTAGCAGCTACAAGGCGAACATTGGGCCACACGGAGGTGGTCGAGACCACGTGGAGTGTTGACCCTGAGTTGGTCGGTGATCCAGAAAACGCCAGGAACCAACGGTTATCGGGGGGCCTAAGGTAAGGGGGTGGCGATATCTTCAGGGCATCCTCTGAGTTCCTATAGGGGTCACCAAGTATTTTCTTTCTGCTCACACTTACCTCTATGCCAACCATTTGGCTGCTATGAGTGCCATGCTGCAACTCAAGAGCCGCACCCGATCCTGGAGAACATCCGGAGCCTGTGATCCCTTCCTGAATGCCACACATGCCGCACAGCCAGACCCTCCTCGTAGTAGCCCAACCCCTTGATGCCCAGCTTGAAAATGAAGCCATCCCGAATGCCCTGCGCACGGCTGCACGCTGCAGTTCGACAAAAGCTCTCTCTTTGACTGTTGCACTCGCCAAAGAACCCTTCATGCACATGCGCAATTAAGGCTCACGGACTGGATGGAAATCTGCCTGGACGTCAAACCTGGCAGTCTGTGTGTCCAAGCTTTAAGGAAGTCCGCTGGCATTTCCCTGACAATTCCACAAATGCGAAGAAGTAAGCAGGTTTATCTCATGTCATGTAATGGCCTATCCCAGGCATTCGACGATCCCATTCCATGCTTCTGAGAGTCTGCAACGCAAATGAGACTCACTCCAGTCTTCCTTGGATGTGTCCAATAGCCGTGGATGAGCTCTGAGCTAATCGTGTTGCAGTAGACCAGCTACAGCACCCGACCCTTAAGAGACTACACCACCCCAAACATTCTCCGATGGATTAGCTCAAATTCTCCGATGTTTGAGAAGCTGTCAGGATCGTAAAGATGGACACAAAGTAGGTGCTTTCAACAGCCCAAATCCACACTGCACCTCCAGATTTTCCAGGAACCCAAACCTCTTTTACTGGCCAAAGAACATACTGCTTGATGCACTAGCGCCCCAAAAACACCACAAACCTCCTCGCCACCTTCCCTGCCCTTCCCTGCCCTTCCGTCGCGGGAACTCGGCGGGCCGTGCCTCCCAGGTCTCGGCGGGCTCGAACTTGCCAAGCAGCTCCTGAGGGATCAGATCCAGTGGGTCCCGTCCGAAACTCTATCTACTGCATGATATAGTCAATAGTTGTCCATGGTTAACAGTTGATAACCATTGAACAATCAATACTGTCTGGCAGCTGGCACAATTAGACTTCTCAAACTCTCAAACACATGTTTAGAAGACTCAAAAGGATCATAACGTATCATAACATACAATAACAGTTCTGCTCACAAGAACCAGGAATGATCTAATTGTCACTTCTCTTCATGAGACCTCATTCCTAGACGATTCCTTGTGGCGCAAATGTAAATACATTCACCACCAATCACCTAAATGTAGGCCATCTGTGTGCCACCGTGGATTAGTTTCGGCTCCGGTCACGGGCCCCGTTTCACGCTTCGCCTTCCGCGCTGTCTGGGCATCTGCCGTGACCCGCTGACGCTTGGCGTCGGGGCCCAGGGCGCCGCCCTGGAGCGTGGATTCACGGTTGATTCATAACCCCCCCGGGCTATACCTCCCTAATATATATATATATATTAGATAATTATATAGTTATATTGCTTTTAAGAATCTCAGTGAGCATTGACTCTAAGGGGACGACGTTGAAGGACCCATGAGAAGAAACACCAGTGTCTCGGGCGTCGTGCTACTCTCTAAGCCGCTGATCTAAAGTAAAAACGTGGTTGCATGAGATATGCCCGTATACCTGACCTGTTTTTACTAGATGACTACATGCTACATGCACTCCTTTTGAATGGTCAGCCTACATCGACCCTTCTGAGGCTTCGAGAGCTACTGCGAACAGATTGGTGCGTTCCCGGTCCAACCTTCGCGACCCTGAAAGTCACCTACTTGTGACCAGTGGATGAGGACAGTTTTGAAGAGCCTGTTATGAACTAGTTAAAACAAATAAGTTAACCAATAGATAGGATTTTGTATATTAACTATTAGATAGAAAATTGTCTAACCCGATCTTTTGGGTTTTGATTCATGTTGTGTGTCTTTTTTTCCGTAGTTCAAAGGAGATCTTTTGCTGTAGCTGCTGGTGATCCAGAAAGGTAAACCGACCTTCGACCATGTTTGAACATGGAATGGGTTCTACTTGGTTTGTTGTCCATCTATATAGGGTGATCCAGAAAAGTAAGCCGACTGTTCAAATGTATAAACATGTATTTTTTACTGGGGGATTCTGGGGGCCACTCTATACCTTTATGATGTGATTTGTGTTTTCTATTTAACTGGTAGCGGTAGCTTCAACCAAACATATTGAGATGCTTGGGAGGCCACTGGACGGTCGCGTCAGCTCCTACTGGAGGGTCCTAGCCTTGCCAGCTGCAAACAACACGAATTCGCGGAAAAACACGTACCACCAAGAAGCCATGCCTGGCGCTTCCGATCTTCTTCGGTCTTCATCTGCTCCTCCGCCGCCTCAAAACGAACAGCCAAGACAGCGTTGAGGTAGAGACAGATGTTGCACCCGGCAGCTGATCACCAAAACGAGTTCTCAAACACGCATTTGATCAACTTGAGGTGAATCACGGCAGTTAGTTAGGAAATCAACTTTCCAGTGGTTGATAGGTGACCTGGAATGGTGTGGCTATGGAGGAAATAGTGATCTGCTTCACATTTGCTCAATATTTGTGTGACCAATGAATCATTTTTTTTCTAGTTGACATATATATATATAATTAATGATATATATTTTATATATATTATATTTGCTACCCAACATACCTTTTGACAAGGTGTTTGGGTGGGATGGTTGTTTGTCAGATGTGCTAGTGGTTGGCAGATGCTCACGCTCATGAAGCCTTGATTACATGTATTGCCATGTGAACGAGAAGCGCAGGACAGACATGTTGTATCTAAAGGATTGAAAGTGCATGATGAACAAACATGCCATAATTGTCATAATAAGTAGTTTGACAAATGAAGCTGTAACGCGCAAGAAGTTCAGTGATGTCTGAATAAGAACATCAGTTTTGAGTACTATGCACCTCTGGCTATATAAAGTGGCTGAGTTGATTGTTGATGACGATGAGTGTAAGAAGTGTGGCAGCCATGTCGACTTGTGCACGTGCGCTCCCCTGTGCAAAGTTAGTTCACGATTTTGGCCATGTGCCAGGCACAGATTGCGCCAGAGGCAAGCCAGAGATCAGCATTGCGATGCCAGTGCTCGTCATACTGGGCGCTGCGGATTTTCGCACGCATGAAGGGCGCGCCTACAGTACAATTTTGGTTCAGCTTAATCCTGTCCTTCACATAGCGCCAGGCCCGGTCAACGATCTGCGTCCCACCTTTGGTCTTCAATTTGCGGCCAGTGGTAGGATCTGTGTGGACAAATAGCGTGGGCAGCTTCCAGACAAACTTGCCCTTGACTTTGACTCTCTTGCAGTGCCTGACATGGTCATGAAGAACAGCAGGCAAACGCAGGCGATAGTGTTTGACAGCATCAAAGTGAAGGATAACAGATCGGCCTTGGAGATATTTGGAGATGCTTTTTGGCCGTGGGTGTCCATTCGATCTTTTGAACAGCTCCTGGGCCAGGTGCTCTTCTGGCAGACATCCTTGGCAGCTATCTGCAAAAGCAGCGTGCGACCAAGGCCACACCACAAGGACACGCCATTGTTCCCACGGGAAAAAACAACAGGCTTTTGATGCTCATCGTCCTTCGGTCCTTCCGATCGGTGCACAGGTAGATTGGTTGCCTCATCCACTTCAATGATGTCCATCCGGGTCAAACGCCCTTGCCAAAAACAATGAGTTTCTCCTTCTCCTCGACCCATGTATTTCGAAGTCGCATCAAGCCCCTCCATGTCTTCAATGGATCTGTGGTTGATGTGCAACATGCGATGAATGACAGGATTAGGGACTTGATTGAGAAGAGTTTGAAGAGATGTGTGGCCAGAAGCTCTTCCATCCACGAAGAGTGGATGTAGGTGCAGACTGATGTAGGCCCGTAGGCCTGATGTAGTGCGGACTAATGTGGTGGGAACTACTCTGTCCAATCTCCATTCCCACCAGGCAGGCTTCAGGAGTTGGCGTTGTGCTCATGGCGGTCACCTGACCACTCAGCCAAACCACTCTGCCACCTCGGCCTCTTCCGTCTGGGACCTTCCGGATGGTGCCGCTGCGCGTGAGCCAAGAGCACGCGACCAGCTGGTCACTTCCGGTGGATCGGCTGGTGCCTCTGCACCGAGTCAGCGGCGTGAGGTTTCCGAGTTGCTACTTATGAGAAGTACATGTTGCTGCTCCGAAAATGACACGTGTCCAGAGTTTACAAGTTGCCAGAGTATCCGAGAGAATGCCGGATGCATAGGATGTGTCTATCTGAGAGAATACTGGTTTGAATGCATGCATCCAAAGAACCAAGATACCCCCAAGATTCTTAGGAGAATCTTGGCTCCTGTTGATATCTTTCAGGTAGCAATGGACTGGAACCAATGCATTCTTGCTTGCTCCTGGATGGCAACGCCTTACAATTACAAATATATTTATTCAACAATCTTCAAACAATAGGTTGAAAATGGTTGAACAAGTCTTGAGCAAAAACATTTTTATACCAGCAACAAAGCAATGCAAATACATCTAAAAGGTAAGAATGTATGTTGTTTTCCTTTTTTAGGCGGGGATACCATATATTATATATACTGTAATTCACATGCATATACACGGTACCTCCCCAAATGGAGCTATATGTCTCTTTCAACAAATCGGTGGCATTTGAAGTGTGTATATAATTTATAAACATCTATACAAAAGAGAGAGAGAGAGAGAGAAAGCAAACTTATACTTCTTGGCGAGTCTCCAAAAGCCCGTCCATTCAAAAAACCGGGCTCGAACCGTCCCGTCCCCGCTCGGCTTCACGGCTTCAGCGCCGCGAACCGCCGCGAACCGCCGCGAACCGCGGCCACGGCGCCGCCATGGGGTCCAGCACCGCGCCGGCATTTTCCGCGGCGATGTCTGTGGCATTGAAGTGCACCTGGTGACGTGGTCGTGGCATGCCGAACGGCGCTTTGGGGGTCTGCGCCGGTCTGCGGTCGGTCAGATCGGGTCCGGACAGTCCGAGGACGAAAAACACAAGGGGCGATGTTTCTGTTTCAGAGTCATGAAGAGTTTCAGAAAACAAGGAAAACACGTATATAGTGAGTTCTGAATCCGGAGTGGTTTCCTTGGACCATAGAGCTGCTTGCCTTTCTGCACCTTGTGTTTTTAGAATCCATCCCTAGAACAGTTCAAGGTTGACCACTGACAGGAAAGCTCGAGCTGGACGGGAAGTAAGACTTGAGTTGAGATGAGTTGAGACCCACGTGACTTCCTCTCAAAAACCAAGTGGGGTGATCCGGGGCAAATCATGTTAAACAGGGGATTTGTAGGTGCTAAGCGGCGCACATAGGTTTCGTTAGTGCCAGCTTTGGCCTCTCCACCGATCAGCACACGCAAATACCCTGCGCGCAAGTCTTTGTTGATCAATTCCCAAACCTCATGCAAGCTTCTGAAGTTACCGCTCTTCTCAGCTCGAGTCTACCCGGAAGATTGTGCGACAGGAATCGTACACTTGTTGATCTTGTGGTGGTTCTCCTCATCTGATGAACTATTGTAAAGGCAACAAACACATAGACCAAACCCGCTTCTTTTAAGCGCAAATCTGGAATAGCTGTTCTGGTCCCCGCCTGGGAGAACATGGCCTGGACGCTACGCTTGATCCGCAGCATATCTCGGAACCTGTGGGCGGTTGTTTAGGCTTAAACAACCTGAGCTCCCCAGGGTTTCAACACCACATTTGCACATTTGCGGATAGGTCAAAACCCATCAAAACCCTGGTGAACCCCATTATGCCGCGAACGACCTCTCAGGCAGGTCAAGCAATTCAATGTATATGCTAGTTTTGACCAACGGCCATATTAATGGCCTCCAACTTACTAGTGATGGCCTCCAACCTACTAGCGATGGATTCCAACCTAATAGCGATGGCCTCCAACTCACTCACGAAAGATTTCAAGACAGCTTGTGAAGCTTGATGTCAGGAGGCCCTCGAGGCGGGTGTACAGGCACATCACTCCGTGCAGCCTGATAAATCATGTCAAACACTGCATTTTTTTCTTACCAAGTAAGCCCGGAAGCGCTTTGCAATTCATCCATTACTTTGCGCCAGGGATTGCATGAGATTGCAAGTTTTATGCCCGTGGTTTCTTGCAGAATAGCAGAAAACCGTTTCTGATGCTGCCCCTGTTTTGACTGCAGATTCTGCCAGAGATGGGAGCAGCTGTTGCCGGGAGCAACTTGGTAGCCATTGGCATGCCGGTTTCAACTTTCCTATTGGTTCAGGAGATCAAGCTGATTGTACTTACTATATATAATGTGCACGATGTTTTTCGAGTCGTGCACTGTCCCAATCGGCCCCTGTCAAAGCACAGGTCGCCCCAGCGAAATGGCCGACCGCAATATTGCTTCACTTCCCTGGAAATGGTCAACACCATTCCCCCTTTCTGTCCCCTGGACAGCGCGCGCGCGCGTGGTGCGTGGCGTGTGGGAGGAGTACTGGGAGGGGGTGACAGGGGTCTGGAGGGCCGTTCCAAACTTCAAATGCTATCCGATGCTCTGTTCAATGATCTTCGACCTTGGGAATACTTGTAGGATTCAGTGTCAGGTAGCATATATCTGTTCCTTCTACACTTTGGGCTGTATCCCCTCTATTGACTCTATGAATCAAACAACCAATGGCCATCTGTGGCGCAGCTGGCGTCAGTTCTTTTCGGCAAAAACTCTGTGGTTTTCTCGCATCACAGGCCCAGGATCTATAAGCCCAACTACCATCCAGCATTGCTCATCATGGGAATAAAGCCTAGACATAGTGTAATCACGCCAAGGATGATACCTGCTGAGAAGGGTATTTGACATTGCTACGTTAACAGTTAACACCCACAACCTGAGTTTCACGGTAACTCGATCTCTCGGGTTGCGCAAGACATAAGACACGTTGCCATCGGTGTCTGAGCTTTGGACGTATCCTCATTACCATGCTGCACTTCAAAGCCGCGCCAGACTTTCCAAAACCTCAGCATGACAGTGGCCGGTTCCAAAGGCACCTGGTTCAACTGTGGTGGTTTTGGTGGCTGTCGGGGAAGTGGATGAAGTAAGAGAAATCGGCGGGATAAAGAAGGGCAGGGACCAATCGCACTTTGTTCAGCTGTTCTCACTTTGCACTCGGCCCAGCTCCCGCTTTGATCCACCGGCAGCCTCTTTCCCTGTCGAAAACCGGGACGCCCCACTCTTCTTCCCTTCGAGGATCGCAGAACCTCGGTCGACACCGGTTTTGGGACGACGGCCGTTGTTGGGGACGGTGATGTTGTGGCGTCTCGAATCCCGTGCTGTACGCGGAAGGACAATGGCATCAGAGCCGTCTTCGTAGCAATGGCCATGCACTCCAGCACTCCATGTGGCTCCGACAGACCGAAGAAGCAAACCGACCGCGGGGCCTGGAAGGACGAGCGTTCGCTGAGCGAAGGGGATCTTAGCAGGTTTCCCCAATCTGGTGGTCCAATCATTTGCTTCGTAACGGACAAAAACCCAGCTGAATGACACGAGATCCCTTTGACCTGCCCGAGGGCAGCGCTTGTCATTCCAAATATTAGGATCCAAATACATCCAAATACCATGTGGGGTGCTTGGAATTACTGGTAGCTGTTTGGAATGCCTTTGGACCGTCCAACTGCCTTGTCAGAAAAGCCTCCATATAAGAGATTATAGAACCCTCCAGTGACCCAGCCATGAACCATTCGAAGTTGCACTGAGGCAACTGACTGGGAAGCATGCTCCTTGGACGGCAGATCAAATCTCGCAGTTGTTCAGGTCGTGTTTTCATCTGGAGGTGTGTTGGAAGAATCCTAGCCCTCTTGCCCTGCCATCCCAAGAATTACAAACTGACAGACCACTCCGGTTTCCTGGCTCTTTCTCTATATAGCAACAACAACACCACCTGTGTGTTTAGCAAAAGTGTCCAAAGTCCATGGTGGTCACACTGACTTTCGAACAAGAAACGATTGACTCTTCATCGAACAAGTACATGTGATTGTTGCGATGCCTGGGCCTTGTTGTTAGCGCTGTGAAGTGTCAGTCCAACTCCACCTGTGGAGCTATAAAAAGTTCTTCAGTAGGCAGGGGCCACTATGGCCACTAGCCCACTAGCTGAAAAGGCACGAAAGCGACGAAAGGGTGTTTCGTCCGAAAAGTTGACCAAGAAAACAAATCCAAAAACGTCGCGTCTCAATTCCACTTCGCTCAGCTGCATAGATGCCACGTGCCCTGTCCACCTGCAGAATGTGCTGATTCTGAAAGGATGACTAATGATGTATATAATGTATATTAAGAAAGGATGCCACCTGCTGATTCTGTAGATTAGATGTATATAGAATATATATATATATAGAATGGACGAACTAGTATGATTAGTGTCGACATGCAAAAAAAAATGTTCTGCACAATGCGCATGATCACTCCCTCTTGATCAGCATGTCTGTGTTCTGTGTGGCGACCTCTGTCTGATGCCACACATTCTGGGCCAAATGCCAGCAACCCTGCTTGCACTATATGACATGCGAACTACTCAACATGGTCACACCTGTAGAATGACTGTCAAAGTCTTCTGACAGGTCCGCCGTCTGCATGCCCGGTATAGCTTACAGCCATATGGCCCATCATCTTTGCAAAGCATCCGCTTGGCCGCCCTCCCGGAAAAACCGGGCCTCTCCCAGCATCGTCTCCATCTTCGCGTAGCGCACACAGGCGTCCTTGATGCGATCCTCGCGGCCGACCCGGCGCGGCTTGAGCGACGACCCGGCGAGGACCCTGGCGGAACCGAACCAGTCGTGGCTGGAAAGTTGGGGTATCTAATAATAGCGCCTTAGAGGCTGAGTGTCCTGGAACCACCCCAAACCAGGGGGCCCTGGTATGGATGTGTCTTCCAGCGTTATTTTCGCGGATGTCTGGTCTTTTGGACGTCGGGTCGCGTGCTTGTTTGTTCAAAGACCGGGCGATGTTTGTTCAGCTCCTGGGGCAGGTTCTCGATGGCCTGATCGTAGATCTCCCGTGTTCGGGTTTGGCCTCAGCATGGAGCGTTTAGGCTTCCAGTGTTCGAGGTTCCACGAGTTCCAATCACCCAATCACATCCCTCGGATTCCCCTCGGCACTTTCATTGAACTTGTATTAGGACTGTGTTCCTGTTGCTCTAGGACTCAGCTGGATCTGTTGCTGTGCACATCACGTTCATGTCGACACGCGCACGGAGGCCAGGCACCGGGTCCACACCGGTCGTTCGTCTTGGGGAACCGGGCCAAAGAGCTCCGCGGTCTTCCGCAAGAGGATGCTGTACATCTCAAACATGTCCTGCATGGGTTGATGGGTTGTGACACTGTAAGGGTTGGCTCTGCATGGGAGTTGTTATTGATGAAGTTCTTTGTGATTTTGGGTTCTGTTTTGATCAAGCAAGGAGCAAACTGAAACCTTGCATGTCTGTTGTGAGAGTTTGTAAAAAGAACACACACCCCTGGCCCAAGGAAGGGTTGGTGCTCTGCCTTATGCTGCTTTTGGAGGAAAGCTCTCCAACCAGCAAAACTAGAAGTATGTACAACAAAAAAGGTTTCTGGAAACATCTCGGAGTGAGGAAAATCCCTGGATCGCTGGGTGATGCGTATTTTCCTATAGGATGGATCTACACTTCCTCCATAAACCATCAACTTGCCCATCAATCCGCATCTTTTCTCCTGATTCCCATGTCCGAATTTCCTGAGACCGAGTCATTCTCCGTACCTCCACGACACATGCGAAGCTCCAGCCTTCTCCTCTACAGCCTTTGTAGCTCTATTGTAGATGGACAAGGCATGCCTGCCAGCTGGAAGAGGTGGACAAAAAGAAAGAGGTCTGTCTGTCAACACTTGGAGCTTCTCCCAAAATCCGGTTCCCTGTCATTCCTATCAAGCTTGTGCCGATGCCGCTGGATGCCAGAGCTCCTGCACCGACAGTTTGCGCGGTTGCGCAAGCTTTGCGCCCACCGGACCATGGAATCGAGCCGGGCACATCGGCGCCGCCCACCGGGGATCGAGGCGACGACCGCTTGGCGCAGGAAGCAGCGCCCAAGCGGCTTGGAAACCACCCTCCGTAGGGATCTGGGTGGGCCTGATGTCCTCCCAACTCGGGCCTGGCCAAGCCATGCTCCTCTTCAAGCTTGGCGTAAAGCATGTGAAGCCTCGGGATCGAAATTCGGGACAAACTGCGGGGGCAAAGCGGCCTGTCGGAGAAACGACTAGCGGCTGGTCCCTGAAAACGGACCCTATGTTACATCCCTGGTCATCAACTACATGGAAAGACTACGCTTTTCAGTGCCCCCCTGACAAGAGCGGCCATTATCCTTCTTTAATTGTGCGAGTTGAACGGAACGCCGGATGGGGTAAATGTGTTGCAATTGCACAAGTGTTTATGATCCTGGGGTCCGCATACGGCCTCCTCTCCGGATTGTTTCAGGAAATCAAACTCATTGAACAACACGACCAACAAAACACAACTATCCCTGAATTCTACTTATGTACCCAGAAGTCAAAAAGATCCCAAGAGCGCAAAAAGCTGCATGCAGGCTTTTTCGAATGCGCTTTGGTTGATGCTGGGGTCCTCCCCCAGACCCTGTATCATTTAGTCTGTTTCAAACTGCCCTGGACTTCGCCAGGGGGACAAGGGTGTGTCAGGCAGTAGGATTCGCCCGTCGCTGCCAAAACACCCGAATGTCCCCTGGTAGGGCCAACAGGCACCTGTCGAGGTGCCAGGGGACAGGGTCGGGAGGACAGCCCACCGGATCCGGTCACGGAATCTTGGGTGGGCAACTAGGAAAAACCCGTTGCGGACAAAAGTTTTGTAGCAAAAGGAAGAATGAAGAGAGTCTCCGGTGCCGGTAGCCGGCGATCTAAGGAGAATCCTTCAAAGTCCGGATGAGTCAATTCATCCGCCCAGGTGTTGTACTCCCTGGGGATGTGATTGGGAGCAATGCTACAGCCCTCACAATGAAGGAAGAGAACCAATTCCATTAGCAGTGCCGCCGAGTAAGGTTTCTTGGCTGAGAGGTTGAGCAGGCTGAAGATGTTGCCTGAGTTGTCACTGCCCACCGGGAGACGAACTCTTCCCGGCAGCTGGCCCTGTTGGGCCACCAGGTGCTTGCAAAGAAGTAGCGTGCCCAGGAGTTCCAGGGCAGCAATGCGTTTCTGAGGGTTGCCATCCTTGAATGCCCACGGATGGGCGTCTGCTGTAATGGCATAGTGGAACCATAGGACCTTGTCCTTGGTGGGGTTCGGGGAGGCCGAGCACCAGCCCCCCAACATAGGCTTCGCCTGTCTTTGATGCACTAGCATCACTGCATCCCCACCAAGGCGACTTTGGCAGGAAGGGTGAGTACTGCTCAAAGGGGTGCGTGAAGAGCTCCTTCAGGAGGGCAGCCAACATGCGGACCACCTTGGGTGGATGGCCCATCGTTCTGACTGCCATCTTCCAAGCCCAAAGCGGTTGGAGCAAAGACTTGGTCAAGGGGCAGCACGCCGTGGCCCACTGGATCCGGCCCATGGCCTTCTCAATGGCCTTGGCTGACATGGGGGATCCATTGGCGAGCTCCTCCAGGAGCTCCATGACCTTGATATGCTTGGGGGCCGCCATCTGGAGAGGTATGGTTGGGTGGATCACGAACCCAAGCCAGGTGTTGATCTCTGCCAAGTGAGTCTTCTTCCAGCTAAGGGGGCGCCTTCTCCTGCCAGCAGAGGGGGGTTGGCCAGCGCCGCCATCGGCCGGGTCCTCTAACCCCAGGAGGTCCACACCCATGTCCGCATCTTCACGTTCCGCAATCTGGACCTTGAGTGCTTCCAGGTGGCGCTCCAACTCCCGGATCTGCGCCTGAGCATCCAGCTCAGAAGCCAAAACGGGCTGTCCAAAAATGGCGAGGCCCCTCGCTCCTTCCGCCTCCGCATGACGGAGGGCTGCAGACGCAGCATCAGCTGCCTGATCCAAACTCTCCATGCCCGGGCTACTGATTGTAGTCCCATCCTCAACGTCTGGTTGGGCATCTCGCACTGACTCAATCATGACATACTCCGGTTCCATTGGGTGCGCCATTGCGTCGTCGTCAACAAGAACCAATGTACTAGGGAGTTTTCTTCCAACCTTCAGGTGCAATCCTGTGGATGATTGCCACCAGCTTGAGCCAAAATGTCCCGGTGGGACATTTTGTGAACTTCAGTGAACATAAAACTTGCATCCGCAAGCTACCTGCAAGTGTGAATATATACAGGTGTACCGAACTTGACCACTCCTTCAACATGAGACGAAATGACATCGACCATCCAGAATCCGATGTCTACCATGACTTCCCATCAGGGCTCTTGACCTCTCCTTCCATCAAACATCACATTACGTTGTGAGGCTTTGATATGCTTTGATCTCTTACGGATCGACCACTCTGTCGGCTGCCGACAGCGGCAGCCTCTCGCTTTGGGGGACCATTCCGGCAGCCCAGCTCCGCAGGGCTCCGTAGGGCTCCGCACCGCCGGGCGAACTTCGGTGGAACCTGGCGCGAGTCCATCGCGGTGGCGAGCCGCGGTGATCGACGGGGGGCATCGTTATGCGCGGATGGGCGGAGCCGTGGAGCATCTGTGGTCGGTTCCATGTGCCCCTCAACAGCTGCTCGGACACCTCGCAGCTTCTCGACTGGTAGCCAGGCACAACTAGACTACGATATAGAGTGGGGAATGGAACTGGTGGCTTCTGAGAGGTGGACGGACTCGGCAGCGGGTCAGGTCGACACCCGAGCCGACCCTCGAGTACGAGAAACAGGATCTGTGGAATGAAGGCGACCATATCCCACAGTTGCAGGGGCTCATGATAGCCCATCTTTACAAAGTCAGCCCGTCCAGTCTCAGAATCTGGCATATCTTTAAAAGACGTTCAGAAGCAAACTCCACACACCTACTTGGAGGTTCGTTCTTGGCAAAACCACTTGCAAGTTAGTTATGGTAAATACATTACATATAGTAGGTTACAAGTAAACTTAACATACTTAACTTTAAAGCGTTCCTAAATAAGCTGTGTAAATTGCCTAAGTTTAACTTACAAAACTTATAAGTGTTCTAAGTTGTTATTGCTTGTTTAAAAAACAATATTTTCAAATTTTCTAAAATTGTTTTGAAAACATTGTAACTTGTCCTGCACATGTATGTATACTCTTCCCGATCTTTTAGATCAAGGCACTCTTTGATACAAAAAACAGCACATCATACAAACCGCAGCAATGTGCTATTGTTCCATGGGAATGTTAAAAAAAGGCACAGTGGCCAATCAGTGCTCCAATCTCTTAGACAAGTACACATGTTGGCGGCTCATTGAGATGTCAGGCTTTGGGCTTTTGGGCTCTGATCTTCTACAGCAGACGTTCCAATTGTTGATGACACATGTTCACGAATTGAATCGTGAATATGTTCAAACAGGGACTCTTGAAAAACCACCTCAATCATCTCATGTTCCGTGCGATCCATGGGACCGCATTTTGAACTGTGACGGTCTGACGGAACAAATGAATCATGTTCCGTGCACATGCGATCCATGGGACCGCATTTTGACACGTGACGGAACCAATGTGTAAGAGTGTGTAATTTTGTGTAAGTATGTGTAAGTATGTGTAAATAAAAACAACCATCGACTTACACATGTGTAAGTCAAACCCGAAACCGACTTACACATGTGTAAGTTAAACCAGAAACCCACTTACACATGTGTAAGTCGATGTGTGTTTTTACTTACACATACTTGCACATACTTACACATTCTTTACACATGTGACATGTGACTCCTGTATGAACGATGTTTGCCGCCCAAAATTTTCAGCGCCCTTCAGCTGCTCCAGGTAGGGATCAAGCGCTTTTAGCCGCTCGAAAGCCATGACAAAAAACAAACCCAAGCCAAAATTGTCCTGCAAGAACAAGACATAAGAACCAAACAACACTGTACAATGAAGGATGATACGATTCTACTTGGCGGTTCAAAGAACCGCACCAGATTGAAGAACACAATGTTGAACAGTTGAACACCATATATTCTACTTGGCGGTTCAAGCAACCGCCGCAGATTGAAAAACAATATGTGTTTCTCTAGTCACCGCGCGTGAATGTATATATGCGCACACTATACAAAACCTAAACATTTGTACACATGCTATAAAATTTACTTTTCACATTCAAAATTGCTTGAAAGAAACACACTGCTAAATGAAAACTTTTCGCGAAAGAAAGCAAATTGTACTTTTTGAAACCTTGAAAAAATTAAGTTCCCTAAGTAACTTGTAAGTTTAAAACAGCAGTTTTTGTCAGCGTTTCGACAAAATACTTGACAAAGTTACTAAGTAGTTCAAAAGTTTTAATATACTTATGAGTACTCTGACTTGCACTTACAAAGTTAGCTGAGTTGGCTATACTTGCAATAGGTTATAACCTAAACTACAAGTTAGTTGTAAGTTACATGCAAGTGGTTTTGCCAAAAACGAACCTCCAAGTATCATCCCAGGTCCCAAAGTCGATAGAATTTGGCAACTGAAACAGCAATGCACCACCTGAAACAACTTTGTTGCACCATGCCCAGTGATTTTCCAGAAGCCAACCGCGTGGACGATCCACTGTGGCCTTCTCCACAGCTTGCTCGAAGAGGTCTCTCGCCCGCTCGAGCCTATCCATGGGGACGTGAACGATGATCCAAGAAGCCGGAGCAAAAATAGTCTCGTCCGGTCATGTCAATTAGTGTCTTTAGGCAGTTCTTGATATGACAATTAATTAGATACATCATGCTACATATAGTTTATATAATATAGCTAATAACGTAAGTATATATGAATATAATATATTTACAGTTATTTACATCTCTTAGAAGATGTCTTCATTGATATACATGCAATATGTATAGATGTTGTATTTGCGCCAACGACAACGACTCCAAGCACCAAACAGGTCCATCAACGACTCCACACACCTCACACCTCCCCGCGGCGTAGACGCGGCGTCGACGCCAGGCCCCCCCGCTTACGCCCGCCATAGCGCTCCACAAACTTGGATAAGTATGTCAGCCTGGGGAGATAATTTGTAACAAGAAGGATTTCACTATCGCCAATGATACTGTTATACATTGCGGTTTTCTGGAGGATTGCGGGGGCATTGTTGCTTCCTCATGGGTTTGCGTTTTCAATAGCTTTTGAAACAAACAATGAACACTGGGACAAAAGGACGGGATCTTTCCCAACCTTTTTTGCAGGACAAGGGATGACAAGGGGATAAGCATCTGACAAAGCTTTCAACAAACAAACAGACGTCAGGGCGCTGGTTGACTTGTCAACAAACTATCAGGGATGTTACTTTACTAACTAACCTACCACCTTGTGGTGTGCTTCGAACGAGCATATTCCTCCACATCCATGGCAGCTTATGGTTTTTTTGGCCCCAACCATTCTTCCGGTGCACCATATCTCTTCATAGAGCTCCTGCAGAGCTCGGCCACCCGGCCAAATATCGCTCACGTGTGGCCACGCAAACACCTGCGTCGAGCTCAAACCATCCGTGGACCGCCGGTACCCGGAACAATCACCGGGTCGAAGTCTACAAAGGGAGCGGGGGTCAGCTAATCAAATTGTTTCTCATTAGTCATTGATGTGAGACAATGACATATATATATATATATATCCTTGCTTGCAACATGTCCTGGGTGCCATAAATCTCACTGCCTTTGGGCCTTTGGGGCTTCAAAGGACACAAATGTTTCGTCAAAAAGGTCCCACCCTTTTGCAGGTGGGTCATACAACAACAGTTGATGTTTTAGATGTTCTATGATATTGGGTAGCTCCGCCGGAAAGCAAACGGCTCCAGCGTTGACCACCCCACGGCTCTGCCGTAAAACTAACTACGACCAACTCTTCAGGGTGCCTTGATGCCCCGCTCGTAGACTTTGAAGGCATCCTCAAAGTATTTCCGATCCTGCGAGGACCACGCGATGGCCGGGCAACGCTAGAGACGAGGTGTTCACGTGGCCGGGTGTTCACCCAGCCGCTGCGACGAGCTCGCTGCTCCTAGTAGCGTCCTTGCTCCTAGCAGAGCAGACAAAAAAAGACCGTTGGAGGTGTCCCCAGCCAGTCCTCCAAGAATCTGGCATAGCTCAGGATCAAGGAAGGTGTTGCCACCTGCAACACGGAGGTTTGACGGCTCTGCCTACGGCCTACGCTGTCTTGGGACTCATGATAGTGGATCAACTCACGGACGACTGCACGACCAGTTTGGGACTCGCGTTCAGGTTCAGCTCAAGTTCAAGCTGAAAACAGGTGAAAACACCATGAACCCAGCCAAATGCTCGCAAATCTAACACATGGCGCCCGTCACAGCTAGTGAGTCAAGTAAAGAACCTCTTGATGTGTTGCATACCATATGTTTCCAGTCCGGAAGGATCTGCAGGCATAAAGAAACAAGTGGCTGCAAGCACCAATGGCCTTGAATTCCAGAGTAGCATCATAGGCAGCCTTATGGCCGAGAAGGTCCCAAGTGGTATGGTTCCACACTTTTCAAGACTCGGTGACCGGGGCAAAGGTTTGGCGCCCTGGAAGTCTATCAGCGTTGGCTGGAGAAGGATAAGGCAACTAACTTAGAACCATATCTCCTCCTTCTGCAAAGGTAAGCTCAAATGGCACAATTGATCGTATGTGGTGCCTATCTGCAGACCGTGGCAATCTTTCGATCTCAGATCTCAGCAATGTGCATCATACTTCCAGCCCCAGAGGGGCCCTGCATCCTTGGGACCTCTTGTATCTTCCGATGGTGTGGAAGAAGTATCACCCACCCAAAATCAATCTTCTGCAGGGGGCAACGGGGAACATGGATATTATTACATATTATCACCTTCACCCCAAATCAGTGTTTTGGGACCGCTCAGGGATTGATCTCTGGATCTCTGCCGTGTCCGCAGGGACCTGGCTTCCTGACACTGGTTCGTTCGGGACATAGACCATCCCACAAGGGGGTTCGTATTGAGAGAAGACATCGGGTCGGGGTCGAGGAACTTCCGTCCACAAAGGAAAACAACTGACGGAACACCGTATACCCTTTGACTCACAGAATCTCATTATAATGGCCCAAGAAGTCGATGTAACTGTCAATGATATACTATTATATACATGTATAACTATATTTGTATACTATACGGTCTATTATATTATATATATATTACATGTATATATAATATATATTTGGGACCTGGTTTCTGGGCGGGTCCAAACCTGCTCTATAGAACCCATGTGGTGGACCTCTGTCACCTGTCCTTACATGCTATACGTCCGCTTCACACGGGCCGTTCTTGTCCGAACACCAAGCGCATGGCCCGAGTGGAAGCGGTGGTGCCAAGCGACCTCGGTGCGCAAACGAACGCAACTCACATAGGTTGAATACTCAATGTAGATTCTTGATTCAAACAAAAAAGAAAACAGGAAAGAGGTGTTTCAATTCAATTGGTGGGGTTATAAATCAAGAGTCTACCTTACGAAACTTGAGCTGCAGGGCACTGCCAGGCACTGGTGGGCGGACTATCAGACTATATCAGACTTACTGGGCTGCTTGGGAATGACCATGGAGTTGAAACCGTTGACCCACAAATCGTACACTCCCGTGTTTTTACAGAGAACATGTCCCAAGAATGCGGCTGCTTGGGCGGGCGTGTTACCATGTTTTTGCCCCATCTCAGAAACGTGGCTCCAAAACGAAACTCTGCTCTTGCATCTATATAAACACCTTTGCATGCCAACTTGCACTTCTCTCGCTTTGTTTGAGGGCATTCTTCAGAGGTTACTCCTACAGTGTACAGTTAATGACTGGCAACTTGCTGTAGTATACTTACTCATACACCACAAAATGGAGTCATGTCGCGTACATCTCATGCAATGGAGCCCCCCCACCACAAAAACATCTTTCCCGTCGACTCTGGTATCCTTATAATCCGTTCAAAAAACAACAAATCAAAACAGAATCAAACACTTTAACTTTACCGTCCGACCGGCTTGGAGGCTTTGGGCTTCGCATGGCTTCGCATGGCTTCGCATGGCTTCGCATGGCTTCGCTCTTCCCCAACCGCCGACGGTCAGCCGACGCCGGTCTGAGCAGGGGACTCTTCGAGGTCAATGCAGAAGGACCAAAGCTTGGTGGAGCGAAACAAGCGGTTTTGCACCACATCCTCGCTTTCGCCGTGCGATGGGAGCTTTGTGCGGTGCACAAATGGGAGCGAGCGCTGGGGCGCGCGGTGTGGCTGGTGGGTAGTGGGTGGTGGGTGGTGGTGCGGAAAACTCCGCACCCGGGGGGGGAAAAAGTGGCTTCAAAGGGTTTGGGGCAAAGCAAAGGCATTCGCTTTGATGTGTTCGGAGGAACCTCTCCTGTTCATTGAAAGACTCACACCGTTTCACTCCAGCCAAATCTGCAAGACCAATTTGCTGAACCAACTGGAGGTTCAAAGGGCAAAACACCTGTAGGAACCAATTTTTTCTTGATGCAAAACACCCTAAAGCTGCTGTAAAGCACTGAACTCCTGGTTATTTGTCATCCCTCAAAAGCAACATGGATGAACTGCCCACACGGGCTGGAAGACCTGGCGCAGGATGACCTGGCACAGAGATGCCTCGCCTTGTCTTCCTTGAGTGCCGCGGCCCTCTTCTGGCCGGTGGCTTGTCTGGCCACCTGACGAGCCAACGCTTTCCGAAAGACGAAAAGCGGTTTCTGGAGCTCGGAGGAGCTCGGGTGGACCTGGAACAGACCGACAGACCAGTGTTTTACCAGGTCTGACCGGGAGAAGTGGATCGCCTTGTTGGTGACTTGTTGTTGGTGTCCCCCAGTACCACCAACGATACCCCGATGTGATCTCACCGAGTCACACGACACGACTCTCAGAGGTCCAAAAGCGTGGCCACAAATCTCCGGTCTGACATCCACATCGGCCGTAGTAGCATTTCTATCTAGTAACAAGTAACAAGAAGCTACTAGTAACAAAGGGCATCGCTACGAACGGAGCAAGCTAATAAGCTACTAGTACACCAGTCGACGGGACGATTTCCAATTTCGGCCTTCAAAGCTTCATCGAACTCCTTGTGCCGCAGCTCCATCTCGATCCACTCACACCAGACCTGCCAGCCGGGGGGCATCCCTCCTTTTGTCACCCAAAAGAATTGCAAGTTGACATACCAGATCATACCAGTTACATCAGTTACATCCAGTTACACCATGATTATACCAGTTACATCCAGTTACACTCCCCAAAAACTATGGACCCTGTGACCGTAGAATGGCACCCTGAGTCCGACCCGTTTCTTTTCCGCAGACCCCAACCGACCGATTCCTGGCTTTCGGCGGGTCCTTTGGGATCGTGTCTTCAGCTGGGAACGTTTTCAGCCACGGATTTGGATTTATGTTTTAGGGGAGGGCCAGCGTTGTGTGTGGAAAAAGCCTTCCGACATAGGTGAAATAGGTGACTAAACTGTTGGTTTGGGGAAGTGTGCACATGCTTGAAAAGCGTTTCGAATCAAGAGATGACAAACTCCATTGAACCGATATGGGTCTGTCGTAGCAGCTAGCGTGAGAAGACCCCCAAAGCCCCTGAAAAGAGCACGATAGTTCTAAAAAAACAAGAACCCATGTCAACACCTTCTGGTTGAGGGGTCACCCCACCCCAGCACATACCCATTCCAAACTCCTTTACAACATCTTACAACTGATCTCCTCACATTCATTCTCACTCCTGGGACTGGCAAGAAATGAGGGAATGGCTGGATCTCAAGACTTTATCTATCGTGGGGTTCACTATTTGGTTTATATATATTTTAGATTTATATATATTAGGTTCATTCCCTTATTCCCTTAGTCTCGTTGCACCCGTCAGGCTAGAACCCTTGAGAGTCACCTTTGCCTTAGCATCCTTAGCCTGACATGGCCTGACCAAGAAAAACATCCGTCTTTCAACGAAGCATCCACTTTCGTAGCTCCAGTCCACCCCTCCAACTCGACCCCGCGCCGAGGCCAGATCGTCCACGCCACGGTAGTTCACCTGGGTAGCCTGAGGGTGGCCGGTCATCTGCGCAGTGATTCGTCAAAAATGCGCAGGTCCTGCAGGTCCAGCCAGGGAAAAAGCCATTGATGTTCTTAAAACAAAGAAACACAACACCAAACACATCCAAATGAACATGTTTTTCTTGAGCCCTGTTGGATCTTTTTGTTTATATAGATACACCAAAATACATATACAGTAGATCAATATAGTGTAAATCAAAAAATAGCTTATACAAAACTTCGCAGTAACAGCTATCGGCATAATTACTGGTTCAACACTTTGACATCCTGGGGACACTTGAAACTTTGCAGCAGAAACTCCAATTCGCAAAGCCAACCGAACACGCGTGAATATCCAATGCATCAAGAATTAGACGGCTGTGGGAGCAGAAGGGAACAAACAATGTACAGAGTGGAGGCTTTGAGAGAGCGGTCAAGAGAGAAAAGAAAACATGATTCAAAAAACCGTTAGGACTGATCAATGGGCCACTACCCCAAGCAGGGCCTGGAAAGGCTTCGTTGTTCCGAAAAGGGTGAAATGAGAGAACTCCCTCCAAGAGTCATAAATGTGAAACGACCTCCGAGCTTGCTGTTCATATATTATGACGTATACGCTTGTTTGCGCAAACAGAGTCATGAGTCATTACCAACATTCCTGAAGAAGCTGCCATTGCTCCCTTACCATCGGGTTTTTCCAGCCTTTCTTGGTGGCTGGCGGGTGCTCTCCCCGAGGATGCCTTGGAGAAAATGACCCGAGCGTTCTCGATGTCATCGTGCGACTCGTAGAACTGGCGTCGTGCGACGCTGGATGCAGCCATTGGTCAAGCTCAGAAGCCTGCGAAACCCTTGGGAATCGAACAGGTGGAACAATTGAAGATGCCTAGTGACAGGAGGACCTCCAGGTTAAACACCCACAACAAACAGATCCCATGGGTGGAACAATTCACACCTGGGATCATATCCCACCTGGGAGGTTCATATTCCTGGTGTTGACTATAATGGATACGCAACTCTTATTCATGTTGTCGTGACCCTGTGAGACTCTGATTGTGGCGGGTTTAGGAGGTTTGGTCTCACCTGCCACCCTGCCCTTCCAAAGACGGGGGCCACGGGTATATCACATTAACACATTCGCAAACCAGGCTGAGCCATGAAAGCATGTGGAAACCACTTGACTGACAAACATATACATTTGACATCATATAACATCATATAAAATATTATAAAGAAAAAACTATATGTAACTATTATATATAGATATATCACTGTATCACCATTCTCCCCTCCAGAAAGATTCAATGTATAACAGTTAGAACAGCCACGCAGCAAGAGTGCATCAACTGTGCAATGCTGGTGTTCCACAACAACAAACCCGCAAACAAATTGACATACCGTCCTGCAGATTAACATGCACTCTCAAAACAACTGGCTTGTAGAGGAATTACTATCAGCTTCACTGGTGTATTTTCAGGGTCCATGTTCTGCAGAAGGGCACTCATCCCAAGCAAACTCATCAAGAGTTTTTCAGGACTCGTCCATCTACGGTTTTGATTTGGTCCATCTCCCCATCTCACTTTCACCATAGTCCCCATCACCCGGTTGACCGTGGTGATGTTCAAACAAAAACTCTGACCTGCTCAATCAATCCATCTTCCCATCTGTTTCCCAAACACTCTCTCTCCACTCCACCCCTGTGAAAAATAGGCGACCCTCCGCCCCTGGAGAGGGAGGCCACCCCTTCCAGCATGGGATCCCTCGCCGATCGCCTTGGCAAAGGCCGCCCAAAGGGTCCACAGCCGCCCCTCCGCCTTCTGCGGGTCCACGGTCATGACCTCGGCAGAAGCAGAAGCGCCGGTGTTTCCGGTCGTTGGGACGCAGGGGAGGCCGAGACGCCGAAGACGCCGAAGCAACTGGGACTGTTCACAGACCGAGTAAGTGACTTCTACAGACCGGTGGCACTGAAGCACCAAATTGAGCAATGATGATCCAGATTTGGCCCTGCAGCATGTTTACTCTTGTGTCTGCCAGACACCTTTATTCTAGAAGTTTAGCATCTTGAAAAAACAAGCAAACAAAGCAATCACAAAATGCAACCAAAAGAACAAAAGCAATCATAAAAGTAAAAAACAAAAACAAAATTGCAAGCAAAAATGGAACAACTCAGCCGGGCTTTCTGGCGCACTTTTTGGAAGGGTCCACGTTCTGGCGCGCTTTCTAGCGCACTTTTGAGGGAGGGTCCACTTTCTGGTGCACTTTTGGTCGCTTTTTTTCCACATGTTTTCCGGCGCCGGGTAAACGGTCGCACTTTTGGTCGCTTTTTTTCCGCTTTTTGTTTTGGCTCCTTTTTCGCTTTCTTATTTTTTGGCAAAAAAAACACAGAAATAAAGCGACAAAAACAGCGAAAAAAAGCGACCCAAAAGTGCGGCCCCGGAAAAAATGGGAAAAAAGCAACCAAAAGTGCGGCTTCTGACCCGGCGCCGGAAAGAAACAGCGACCAAAAGTGCGACATTTGACTCGGCACCAGGAAAAAAGCGACCAAAAGTGCGACATTTGACCCGGCACCAGAAAAAAAAGCGACCAAAAGTGCGACACTTGACCCGGCACCAGAAAAGACCCTTGTCCATTACTAACCCTACCCGGCCCCTCCAAACTACCCTCTGTGTGTTGCTTGTGTTTTTTTTGGTTGCTGTTTTATTGTTTTTCTTTGTTTGCTTTCTTGGTTGCTTTTTTTTTGCTTGTGCTTTTTTGGTTGCACTTTTGGTTGATTTTTTGGTGCTTTCTTGGTTGCTCTTTGTTTTGCTGGTGCTTTTTTGGTTTGTTTTTTGGGGCATTTTTTTTCAAGTTTCTTGATTTCTAGAATAAAGCCACCTCTGGTGGACACAAGTTTACTCCATTCTCAAAGACAATACTGCCAACTAAGTTGCATCCACCCATGAAGTTGCATCTAAGGAAGTTCTCCCTTCCCGCCCAAAATAGTTTAGTCAGGCATAGTTGGCATGGTGTCAAAATTGAGGATCCAAAACTTTGTACACCTTCTGCTGGGGTGATTGATCATACATCTTCCATTGCTGGTCCAATGGGAGAGTGTAACCAAATTGGTCAATTGCATAGATCATAGTGATCATAGATCTCTAATTCACTGGTGATTCGATGTGACGTCTTCGGGTTCATCACCAATGCTCCGGTTTAGCTAGCATACCACTGCCCGTTCAAACGATACCTTGCTCCGTAAAGAGAGGCACTGCGAAGCCACTGCTCTCCACTCTGGAAACACTTAAGCCAGTGGTTTTCAAGCCTCAGCCATCCTGCTCGCTTCGGGTCCTCCGACTGCTTCCGTGAAGCATCGAATGACCTTCTCCGGCGTGTCCTCCGCTTGGATCTCAGAGGATCACGTCTCTAAGCCAAAACATCTGTGGGACCTGGAACAAAAGAGCATGAGGTCGACGGGCTTGGGTCACCTTGGCGTGTCATCTTTGAAATGGCTTTGATGGAGTGTGGTTGATGTCTTATGCACCCTGGTACTTCTTGCATCTTCTCACCTTCACTTGCAAACAAACACCTCCTTACCTGAACCCCTAGCATCCCTGAGCCGCTCCTTCCACACAAACCCTACCGGCCCGTCCGCATAACGAACCAGTCGTCCTTGTAGAGCTTGGCACGCTGAAGCCACTCGTGCACGTTGTGCGGATTCTGTCGCAGCTTCACTGACCTCGCGTCCCATAGGCCCAGCCCAGGCCCATTCGGTGAGTGGTGATTCGACGGGTCTCCGAGTCCACTAGTGGCACGGAGACAGCTGCATGTGTGGCACGGAGACTGCGGGGAATCCACTTCTGTCAGCTGTCAATGGTCTGTCTCGACCTGAAAGACACCCTCAAACTACGGGATCTCGTCATCTCCTTTTTCACAGGTATGGCTTTGGGGGATCTTTGGCTTGAGAAATATGTGACAGATCGCAGAGATTCGCAAAGTATGAGTTTATCATGCACCTAACATTACTTTCCCAGTACTGCGGCAATCGCTTAACAAACAGTAATCCCTCAACCCATGTAGACAGGGCAACAACAAATGATACGGCAACTGCTATCACGATTCTTCAATGCCTACTCGAGGTTTTCCGATAGTCGACCCCCGACACTGTGCATCTTCTGCTCAAGTTTGGGTGGTTGGCAACTCAGCTGCAGATTGCAACCACATATAGGTTCACAATCACTTTGCTCAGCCTGCATCTCGTGCATGGTCGTGGCCCGGTCTAAAAGGTGCCTCAAGTTGTATCCTAAAATACACATAAACGTTCGCCAGTTCCCTGCAGATCTTACACATATCAAATGATGTCAAATTACTAATTACTAATTAGACTATATTAGACTATCTTCTACGCTCACGGACGGACTAAAGTGATCGTGTGTTGCGCCACCTGGACCTTCCATCCAAGTGCCCAAGAGCGGGCGGTGCTCAGCTGAAGAAACCTAGGGACCTGTTGCACGGTTGCTATTATTTCCAGAAACTACTCCGGTAGGATGCCAAAGAGTATGAACTGGGTCCACTCAGAGTTATGATCAAGTCTTGCTGACTCTTGTAAACAAATGATGGACTAAAGGATACTAAAGGCATCTAAAGGCAAAATATTACATAATTGATACACTACTATTGTTAATAGTTGGTTGACTTCAAATCAAAAAGCAAACATCTCTTCAAGACTGTTCTTCTCAAGACAATTTTCTTGGGGAAACTGTGGTTTCTATATGTTTCTATTATGTATCATTATATCATATCTGGAGCTTTTCCGGGGTGACCGAGTGTGGCTTCCATCATCATCCCGGCTCATCCGGTGCTGCCCAAGAGACGACACCAGCTCCGGCCGTCGACCCAGGAGATCCTCTCATCAAACGATTTTGTCCAAGCAGTGTCTTTAATATGGAAGAATGAACCATGGACCATATCCCAGACACTCCATGGGACTGCCATACTATATGCCTACATTGACCCCCCAAACCACCACCCCTGGCCTGATCGGCCCATATGGCAGTCTCAGACAGGTCGTGTCTGGGAGATGGATGTCTGGAAGTGGGAATCCTATGGACTACGCCCGCCGAGTAGACTCGGTCTCCAGGTCACAATCTCTCCGCGGGGGGGGGAGCGACTCGGCAGTGGGCGACCGAGAACTCGGAAGGGGGAATAATGAATCATGTCTTGGGCCCATGTGGTGGTTAAGACGTGGAGGAGGGATGGGTCCATAGAGAGAACAACAACTACACTTGAAATATCTTGAAATCATGAAGCTTTACCACTTTGGACCAGTGGAGATGAACAAGAACCACAGATTGAGGCGCTAAACGAGCTTGGCTGCTCCCTATCCATATTCCAAAGCGTTTATACATGTCATGGCCAAACTCCTCCGTCCATCTATATACACACCTTGTTCCTCTTCATTTGGCCCTGGCTGCCCAGTCAGCCTGCTGGTGTCTGGTCTCAGCCCTGCTGTGATCCACATCCAGTCTCTGTGTCTGTTCCTATGGAAGAGCTTCCAGGCAATGAAGGAACATGGACCAGTCAACCGGGACGATGAGGACGCTCTATCCCAAGAGATCCACTGCCACCGAGGTGGCAAGGTACCACTGGACCCTCAAAAAATTATGCCTCCAATCACCTTCTCAAAGAGTCTATCCATGCGTTATTCACCCATTCATTTGAGGAGAGACTCAGAGCTTCTCACCGCTCGTCCTCCAAACGGAGCATCAAAAGGTCGGCTTCAGCGGCTGACACCGTGGACGCCTGGTCGGGCACGTTGGGCAGGTCAGTCGGTCCTTTCATGTGCTGACCATTCTGAATAAGACATGCGGTGACATGCGTAACATGTCAGTGCGTCTATAATGCGTCGCTATATAATTACAGTCTTTTCTGAATTGCCTAACAGTATAGGTCCTTTCTCCAGCAGGTCCTCATCATGATCTTTCCTCCAAATTATAGAACTCATATAGGTGCATCTCAGAATGAGGAGCAGGGGATCGGAGGGTGTTTCACCCTCTTCCCCATCTAGCAGGGCCATTTAGGGGGCGTTCACGGACCCGACCCAAACCCAGTGTGGGTCAAATATACTTGAAGAGACGGTCGACCAATCTTTGCGGGTGGCTGACTTGGCAAAGTCGTGGCTTCTAATTGGTTCAGTGGAATGCACAACTCGAAGAGTCAAAGACACGGTGAACTCTTGCTCCTTTCATTGGTCTGTAGCCTGGTTTGAAGGGAACAATGGCCCATGAACCGTTCAGTCTACTGCCAGCCGTCGAGTGGGTCCTACTTTTGGTCCCGCTTAAGCATCTCCTGGCAGCATCAAGCAGGACTGGCAGCTTCCACTGTCGCCCTGTTGAGGGCTCCCAGCAACTTAGGACTTAGGCTTGATGTCAAAACACCAACAAACACAATGGCAGTGGCCATGTCAATATGTCTCCTCCAGGTAATCCCACTACTGTGCCACTACGCAGATAGATATATCCAGGAATCCAGGCGAAAGTTGAACTCAGCTCGCCACTGGGCCACAAGCTGAAACAGTGAGATTTGGTTCAAGACTCGGCACTGGGACGCCACCGTTTCATGGGCATCGGCAAATGAAACGAATCACTTTTGATGGAAGTAGAATTCCAGCAGCTGGCATGCACTTGGTGCCCTGTTGGTTGGACTAAATATCATCTAACATGATGCTAGATCCTTCAGCAGCAACATGCTGTGGCTAGGTTGCCTCTACCTCAGTCCACTCAGAAAACCCGTGTTTCACTTGACTCCCGGTCAGACGACTGAGAGTAGAACTCTCCGCCGCTCCGCCGTTCCGCACCTCTCGCTCCATATGTGCAGAGATCAAGCTCTCCAGGAACTTGGCATACCTCAGGCGACCAAACCCGCTGTTTCACCGATCCAATGCCACTGAAGTGGAGTGGCATCGCCAGGGCGATGGCAAGAATGAAATAGATGAAGCCATGCGAGTGGTCACACATGGCCCATCATGGCTTATATATCAGCAGGAAGAAACAGGGAGACACCTCGATCACCAGTGCCAACAAACATACATATAACATAGTTTGATATATGTATATATGTTGCATAAACTGCATAATGATAATCAATGATACCTCATTCTACTCTACATGATTTACGTACACATCAATATTGTTAATGTGAATGTGTCAATAAATCAGAAGTTGCTGTTGCTTCAAATGAGTTGATTCACATTCCTCACCCGTCAGGACGACTCGTCAGGACCAAGGCACGACTCGAAAATCAGCGAGAAGTCGTGGACCTGGTGGACGTGGACCCGGCGAGATCGGTGGACGGAGAAAGCGGTGAAAACCCCAATTGACCAGGACCTCGTTTGGATGTGACGTTTCTGTGAGTCACTGTTTGCATCAAAAAAAACGTCGTTTGGTGGATCTCAGATTTTTTGTCCAACAACTATAGTCCACGATTTGAGTGCTCCCCCCACTCCAAGGTTGCTTAGGACCTCTTCTTTCAAAAGGCGTTTTCTCACCCCTTGCACGCGCTTTGCTGGGATTTACATGGCTTTACTATGCTTTACTCAACCCATGTGCATGCCCATCTTGGAAAAAGAAGTGGCCGCCCTCAAGTTACTGCGTCGGGCTCACCGTACTGACAGTCGCCATGGCTTCCTCGTAGATGTCTCGGGCCTTCTCGAACTGTCCAAGCCTCAACTCTGATCCATCCAGCGGACGCAGTCACCCCCCGGCCCGCCGACCACATTGGGATTCTTCCAGTTCCAAATTCCAAGTGATGCAAGTTTCGTTGGTTCTCCAATGGTGCATGGAAAGCCATGCGACGCCGATCTTTCGGTCACGGAACATCGACGAATCCCAGAGGAAGGGCAGCATATTCAAAGAGAACAAGTAACGGGCAGCATGTAAACTCTTTGGGCATGGTACTTAACCAAGCGACCAGCATCCCATAAGTGTTATTTATATAATCATATAGTATATATTTCTAAATATATATATATATATGTATAAAGAATTCGATTCATACCATACCTATGCTGGACTTACATCTGGGAGGTGCAGGTCTGGTGTTTGTTCGGATGTCCCTCTCACCTGGGAAATTCGGATGTCAGTGGTGTCGCCAAACCTCCCTTGGCCGCTGCTGAATTGGTTCGTTTCGTGTTTTAGCTCGCGTCGTCTACGTCGTCTCATCAAGTGAAAACAGCAGTGTACCAAGTCCCATCAGTATAATTCAAAGGATACTTTGTAGTGGCCCCGATCCTTGTGGATCTGGAAAAAAAAACAGATATTAACCAATGCCAACACACACCAAATGAATCTATTGCCCTGTGAATTCATTGGATATTCATTCGGCTGCACACAAGCCTGCAGATGCGTTTGCCAAGCACTTCTGTGCTCGCCTACCACGAAGCACTTCCGTCGCGGCCGTGGCCACTCGTCCGTCGCGGTCCGTCACGGTCACTTACGCCTGATGAAGTGATCGCCCAAGGAGATCCACAGGCGACCGACCTGGCAAACACCAATCAATCAAGACACCAAGACCAAAGGCAATGGATCTAAGATCCTTTGAAGCATGCCGTGCTTTTTTTGTTAGATGAAATACGGCGAGAAAGAACACAACAATGTAACAATGGGTTGAACAATGTTGATGATCTGCTTTACGAAGCATGTATACAATATGCATGCACCAGCTACACCACACTGGTCTGCTGTGAGAGTGCCCTCCGGGCCCTCCGGTTGAAGGGCTCATACACCACAAAAAGTTCTCCCAACAGGCTGTGAACTGGCCCGCTGCCTCGTCGGTGAACTGGCGAATGCCACTGCGGATGATGGACCTCATTCAAGGAAAATGCTGGTTGAAAAGAGCCGGAGAGATCGATCTTGGACATGAAATGAAAGGTTCACCAGGGGGGAAAACCATGCTGGTTCACCATGGGTTAACCTTTGTCAACCTGTTGGGTTTCAGTGGAGGTGCCGTTGAGTCCAAACCCACCGAACATCGAACAGCCGACCCGCATCGCGTCGCGTGGCGTCCCGCGCGCATGACGCGTATCGCGTAGCACGCTGGGTGTGCGCGACTCAATGTTCAATGCCTTGATGTCGGCAGGGTGCTTGGAGACCTTGGAGAGTGGAGGAGTGGACCTCATCCTATGGGTGTCATACCAGCATCGAAGGATGAGGATCCTGATTCCACAAATCATTCTACGTACCTGGTCGTTTTCTTATAGGCCTGTACGTAAGTCTAAGAGGAGCCACTGGGTGCTACAGTAACAAACCATCGTAAGAGGGTCATTGGGGTGATGGTCTGGAAAGCCTGTCGTAAATTGTCGTAAGAGTTGCTTCTTGAACTTGTTGTTTGAAAGGAGGTTGCGAGCTTGGAATTTACACCTTTTGCCTGACTTGTGGGTAGCTGCGCTGCAGGAATGAGTCATTGACATTGAATATTGACAATCAATAGGGCCTGCCCATCGAGGCTAGCTCTCGAAGCCAACAAACATGTTGTTCCCTCCTTTCTGCAGCTGCCGAAGTCTTTGCCGCCCTGTGATCCAATGGACGAAAACTGCCATCAAGGATTGGAAACAACTGCAGGTCTTGATGCCAACGTATAAAACAATTAGACTCCCAACCACTAAGGCTAGTTGCCTAGCGTCCTTTTCATAGAGTTTAAGACTAATCTATATCTAGCCCGATGATACCACCATCCCTGGAAACTGCCAAGCTATTCAGCAACATATTATATAGAGGCTACTCAGGGACAATATCGTTGTGCAAAATGTGTTGAGATGACAGTACTAATACTAGGCTTTTGCTGCATGTTGCAGCCAGCTTGGCCAATCCATACGTCTTTCAAGAACTTGAAACAACCCGACAGGAAGGGCAGTTTGGCAGTTTAAAGCGCCCTTCCCCCAAAACTGGTGCACCAGTGCTGAGGGCACCACAAGATCACAAAGGTCCATCCACAGTTGGTGCCGTGTTTTCCCTTCCATGGAGCTAAAGTCCTCAGGATGGAGCGACATCCAACCTGCTGAACCCCTAGAGGATTTTGGGTGCACAACAAGGAAAGCGTTGGCGTGTTCCCTTTTAAGATCCAGTTCTGTTGTAATTGATTCATGAATGTCAAATTCCCACGGCATAAAGTATATGTGTAGCTTTTGCAGAGTGACCCAAACCTACAATACAGTTGGCATCTGCATCGACTGCCATGCGTAAACCTCGCTGAAGGGTAAACCTTTACGACGCCGGTTTGGCTCCAACGATGTCCTCGTCATCCACCACGTTGGCAAGCTTTTGAGCCGCTTCATCATATCGCCTGAAACCCGCGGGGCGTAGACAACTGACCAGAAGCCGGGCCCGGTGTTTCCTTTGGCATTGTGTATTTTATTTGGCATTTCCACCTGAGTAAGTGAGTTTTAAAGGAGTCTGGACAGTCTGGCTGACCAGAAGGTTGGAAGACATCTTCTACCACAAAAATATGTTATTGTCAGATTGGTGGACGAGTCGCCATCTTAGAAGGTGTGAATAAGGCCGTCCGTGACCAAAGATTCCGTGATAATGTTTCCATTGATCAAAGGAGGTACCAGGTAAGGGCTGCTACGGCTGGGACTCTACATTTGAGCCATTTCCTTGGCCAAGTCTGGTACCAGTGAAGAGTAGGTAGTGTTGTTGCCCCTCACTCTGACCACTTGAGCCGCTGTTTTTTTATATTAACCTCTTGGAATTCTGCATCCCTCTGATGCCGCCTAACAGCAGCCCCTCTCCCTGCTCCCGCAAGTCCCTTGAGACCAATGGCCCGATGGTTCTCAGGTAGGCAATGTAGATCTGCAGGCTGTGGAGATTCGGCGGTCGATGCCGCGCGAAGCGCGCGCGGGGGCGCACCGCGCGGTGCGTTCCGCACACAACGTTCTCGGAAGCTGCAGGGAATCGGCGGGGATATATCATGTCAAACACGACCGATGGGAATATATGCTGATCAGTTGGGGTGGTTGACCCGTTCTTAAAATCAGTTGGTATACATATATAATATATATATATATACCAGTCGTGTCTGCTATTATAGCTCCCGAGCTTCCTCATGTGCTCTCACAAACACGGTGGCGCCCCCAAAACCACCTGCATGTCAACGTCTCGTGCACCGGCACCGGAGCCCTGTTCGACTTTCGTGGGGAAGTTGGAGTGTCAGTATTCCTCCTAGAACCTTTGAGCAGCTTCCTATCAAATCATGGCTTGTTTTGTCCTTTCTTTGTTTAGGTTTAGTGTTCTGTGCAGCTGGGCCATGGGGCCATACTTACTTGCGACCGTACTTGGATGTTCAAACGTATCCCAATCTCGAGTGCAATAGCTGGTAGAGTGTATCCCCAGCCAATCCATCCGCTTGGCACTGGCTTTTGCGGATTCCGCCCCATGTTCTCTGTGTTTTGAATCGCTGATATGCGTTGAACGACTCTTCTTTCAACACAATTATATACATGTGTGTACTATGTGTTAGTAGGATACAGGTTGAAGCTGCCTCCCATTACAAATCCTGTGAAACATCCCTGAAAGAAAGCGAGCAAAAAGGCTTTCTTCAGGATCCTTTGGTCTCCCCCCGTTCGGGGAGAGCAAGGCTCCTTGTGTCAAGCCCATTTCAATCCACCCCGCTGCACAAAAAATAAGGCTTTTACAGCGTGCTTTGATAGGACCAACGCGTCGTTCCACGGGATGATGACAAGCAGCACCCTACTCGAGAATGGATGTCCACTCTGTCTGAAACCAGAACAACCGAAGATCTCATCTCTCTATATATATGTATATAGGCTAGGTGTTCTCATTGATTACAGTACCCCTTTGGCACAAAAAGTGAAGGATCACGAACATCCGTGTCTGTATCAGCACATGTTTGTAGGAGGCTCCTTTTTTGAAGGAACTCAAGTCAGGTGAAACTAGATGATTGTTCAACGCATTGGATGTACACACTCTACAACACCCTGCCAGCCTATGGAGATGTCTTTTTTCTGCCTAAGCCTACACGAATCGAGCTATACCCTAAAAAGGGGCCCATCTATGACCTCCTTTGTTTCAGTGGATCATCATACACGTGTTTTCTTCTAATTACTATAGGTGGGCTAACTTGAGTCATCGGATGGCTGGACATACCTTTTGCTGGCCGCCCCATGACCTGGAGTCCGCACGCGCCGTCAAGGCACCTCCACGTGGTCTGGCTCCAACATGAGGTACCGCCGGAAGGCACACAAGGCGGTCTCCTGGCGGAAAGCGGGGACGGTGCCTAAGTGGGTGGGCCGTCACCAAAGCACAATTTCTCTTATCTCACCAAATGCTGGCAGTGGGCAAAATGGACAAAAAGACCCTTAGTGTTCAGAATCCATGTGACAGTGACATCGCGCACATATGCACTGTCAATTGGAACCAGTATGACCCTATGGTCCTTCAATCGTTGCTAGCTTTGCTTGTTCGAACAATTTGTTGCATCCTTGATGCCACCGCACTATGGAGACAAGTGTAAGAAGGTGTATCCTTTCGACAAGTGTGGAGAATGACTGATTTCTTGCTCCCGGCCTTCGGCACTTCGCCATCCTTGATGAACTTCACATAGAGCTCCTGAGATCCCGAGAGCTCAGAAAAGCTTTGACCCCAAAAAACGCCTCGTCGGATACCGTGACAAGCCATGCCGGCAGCACCCAAATCCGTGCGTGCTGTGTGATGGGCAAAGATCGGAGGGCCTTAGAGAAAGATCGGGGTGCGTGGGAAAGACCGGAAGTCTCCACGCAGCCGTGTAGACTTGTGTAGACGCTTCATTCATGAACCCCCCCGGCCTGAACAGGTGTTACAATCCACATGGAGTGGAGTGGTTTTATTCATCATTACGTGTGTGGAGAGCACAGGTAGTTGCATCAAACTCAATGAATGAAGATTGGCAACGTAAGCACTTGACCAAGCGCCCTCACAAGGTTGATGGTTTCAGAAGGTTCCCTCTGAGACACTGGCACGATCCAAGGCGCGTCGAGCTCGTGTAATCTTTTTCTGCTTCATGAGAAAGTCGATGTAATGAAGCCTGATCGACTCGAAGGACAACAAGGCGCGGCTCCCCGATCCCAATATTCTCCCCGGGACGCTGAGACGCAGCTTGCATGATGGTATGATTGATTTATATGTATGTGAGGTCGTTGGGATAGAACCTGCACAATAGTCGGCCCAAAGAAAACACAATCTTCAGGAGTCAAATCACAAATCCTTTGTAGCAGTCGAATCAATCTCTGTAGCTCGTCCTTTGTAAGGTCCTGGCCAAATTCTGGGCATCTTGTGCAAAAACACCAGCGCCCGCTCGAAGGCATTGTTGCACGCCTTCGAAGCAAAACGGCAGATCAGGCAGAAAAGTACTGATTGAAGCAATAGGGCATGATGGGATGATTGCCGTGATAGCTTATGCAAAGAACGTTGTGACCTCATCTACTCTACAATGCGGTGCAATTGAGGTCGAGGTGATCTGATCTTCCATCTGATCAACATAATTCTCACTTGACCTTTACTCTGACGTATCAGCTTTAAATATCCCAGACACTCCATGGGACTGCCATATATGCCTAACTTGGGGTGGTTTTAGGGGTCAATGGGGCGGCAGTCCTATGGCAGTCCCAGACAGGTCGTGTCTGGGTATGTCTCATACCGCTCGTTGTTGCCATGGCTCGGCCGCTCGACGCTCTGGCTCGGTCTCCGCCGCGTGGAGTGGCGTGGACGGGGGAGACGCGACCGGTCGGTGATCGGACAGGTCCGGGACCACGCGGTTTCAGCCGCGGGACACGCCTCATACTCTGGATCCAAAATGGCCAAGTCTTTGACCTGACAAAAAGCACCAGTTGGGAGTCTGTTTGGCAAGGTCAAGGAGTTTTGAGTTGGGAGAGTTAGGGGAAGGAATTAAGGAGGTAGGGCCAGGAAAACTGGGAAAGCTGAAGCATCTGCGGGAGACTCCATATATGAGGTTGTGTTATTATCGTTCTGAAGTGCTATATACTGCAACACGTGGTGTTTGTGTTTGAGGAGAAAAACCTAAGGTGAGACACATATGACGCTTTATCCACATGCAGGGTTATCTATTCAATTTTCTTCCTGGTTTACAGTGGATGTGGTATGGATTCTGGCCCAACGGACCATTCCGCTCAGACTCTCCGGACATGTCCTCTCAGACCGCTCATAGCACCGGCCGTCGGTACAGGAAACAGCCGCACCGTCCTGGTTCACCCGACGGCCATGTGTGAACATAGCACAATAGGAGGGGAACCCCTACGCCGTACGCGGCTACGTGGCAGGAGAGAATACACAATCTGTTAATTTACTCATTGGGAAAATACCCTTCTTTCATGGAGATGTTGACCTCCCCCTTGGATCCCGGCGCTCCGCATGCGCAGCCTCAAGCAGCTACGCAGCAAAGCCGTTTTCGGACCACTGAACCCCAAACCTACATTGACATTTATATGTCCTTTGTGTCAGGTGTGTTTATATCATGATATAAATATACTGTAATCAATCTCTGTCTCTCTCTCTCT